ATCTAAATTGAACCATCCAACTCGCCATAATTATATGTATAACTCGAATTTCGAGTAAGCTAACGAAAATAAGTAAGCGAACTAGTCGCACCGAGCTGCGAACTAAATGAGACGCTCAGAATCGCGAACTATTATACTTAACACTATTGACATTCACTGACATGGCTTTTTATTTATGTTTTACGGTTCTGGATACAGGTAATTTTGAATACAGTCTGGTGTAGTTAATTTTAATTTAACGTTACACATAGATACTTCAATAAATAATAATCAATAAGTAAATAATAAATAATAATAAATAATCTTAATAAATTTATACATTAATTAATACATCTATTTATAAAATGGTCTTTTTAGTGACATTTTTTTATACGTTGAACGTTGCTCTCTTTCGTTTCTGGTGGCCTCACTGAAAAAAAGATTGGTAAAAATGTATGAGACTTATTTAAATATAGGTTTTAAAGACTAAATTATACAAATGATGTAAACCCTACTGATACTGATGCTGAATAAATAAATATCTTTCGTTGTTATTTCTCGCTTCCCAACCCAATTCAATCTTAGTGTGATTTTAAATTTGTAGTAAATTGTACATGTGTTACATGGAAAATTATTTATTTTGCATTTTCATTAACTTGACTTCATGCTCACACACTTTTTAGCGTAAATAGCGCAAATACCATTCCATTAACATCGTAAAAAAAAATTGAAGAGAGGAGTGTTTGTAATTGTTGTAGTAATAAGAAAGAAGACTAGGTAAACGGAGAAAATATATTAATATAATAGAGAACTGACAATTAGGAACAGAAAGAATGAATTGAAGTATCAAAAACAAGAATGTAATATAAAATAACTATAAATTCAAATACAATTTTAGAATACATAATTTAGAACATATCTTAGATTTAGATTAGCCAGTTACAACAGTAATGTGTATTAATAATCCCATTATAAAATACATGTCATAACGCGGTTCATGAAACTATCGTGATAAAAAATGATAGGGTGTATGGATATTTATCAACATTACTGCCCCGCACGCGTAAACCGTGGCAACATTCTATAATCACCCATTAAAAAAATTGGAAAATGGAGAAAGATATTCTTAAAGACTTTATATTAAATCACGCAGTTCAAGTCCCAGTTTCCAGTCTTACATGATTTTAAATTTGTAATAAACTGTACATTGTTACATAATTATTTATTTTGATTTCATTAACTTACGTACACACTTTCTATAATAAATAACCGCCAAGACATTGACGACGACAGGACGGTGACAATTATAAAATACTATAATTATGTTGATAAAAATGTTATGTATGGGTGTATGGATATTTATCGAATTACTAGTTGCCATAAAAATAGAGGTTGGTGATTGAAATGTGAAAATTTAGGGTTGTATGTATTTTTTATTGCTACATAAAAAGAATAAAAATATTTTTTCACAATAGAAAAAAAAAATTGTTGTGAGCCACCCTTAACATTTTATTATTTTTTCATTTGTTTCATTTTGTTAATTAGTTATAAACACTACATTAAAAAGTCTATCAAAATCGGTCAAGCCGTTTCGAAGGACTATAAACACGAAACCTGTGACACAAGATGTTTTTATATTTGAAGATTAGCTACTCTCCCCAGTTTCGCAAGGGTATACATGTATTATATAGAAACCTTCCTCTTGATTCACTCTATCTATTTAAAAAAAACGCTTCAAAGTCCGTTAAAGATTTAAGCATACATATTGACAGACAGCGACAGCGACTTTGTTTTATACTATGTAGTAATGATGATAAATAAAGTATTAATATTAAAAATAATATATCCTTATTAGAATAGAATAGAAAATTCTTTGTTCAAATATAGTTCAATGTATGTTTTTTTCAATAGCTTTCTGTTTTTTTTGAATATTTTATATTAAATAATCACTACTGAATATTATTTGTATACTATTATTAATCCCCTCTGATCGATCTTCCGTCCAATTCAAACGGGGATCGAAATTACGACGGCTTGAGCCAAGGTTCGAACCCCTAGTGGTGCCCTCAGACTAAAGTCATATCCGTCAGGCAGGAGTTGGCCTTCAGCCGCTCCTCATAAGTCCTTCCGCGGATTTGGAGTGCCATATGCAGGCCATCTGGCCAGCTGCGGCCAACAGCGTTAGAGTAGTCCGAAAAAACTTATTAATATAAGTTTATTTTTACTTCAGCTGTCAAACTTATTTTGTGTTCTATCTGGAAATGGTTTGTAGTAACAATTAATATTAATTATACTGTTCAGCCTGTGCCTACACTTGTAATATTTCTGTCGACACTTGAGACCCTTCCAATTAGTTTACGTCTACACTAACATAGATTTAAGTTAAGTGTAAAATCAGTCTACGTCCCGACTCCGCGTCGACTGGACACGTTACTAATAAACCATGTAGCACACTGCCAATAAACTTAATAATGTCTAATAAATAATACAATCATTTTACCGGTATACTCATCATACTACAATAAATAATATATTATGTAGCGCCACCTCATCACAACATATGTAACGTATATGTACAGTGATGAGGATACCACCGCGCTACAAGCCTACCCCTTAGGAATACTCTTCTGTTATGCGTTAGGTAGTTGCGTGAATCATATAGGTACCCACCTTAAGTTGACGAATAACGACAAAATATATACGACTAGTTGTGCCCGCGACTTCGCGTGGAATCTTGACCAAATAGAGAAATAAGTTTCAAAGCTTCTAGATTTAAAAATCACTACAGTTCCGTAGTCTTTCATCTCCCCTTTCAACCCTTTTATCGCAATAAAAAGTGCCCAATGTCTTTGCTTAGTGTCTAGACTGTATGTGTACCTACCAAACTTCATGAAATCACGCCAAAACTACTGAATCATAAAATCGGTTCAGTAGTTTTGGCGTGAAAGCGAGACAGTCAGATAGACAGACACAGTTACACAGTTCGCATTCATAATATCAGTAAGGATTTCAATATATATACTATAAAAACAACATACAATTTTTACATTTTAATATAACATAATATTTTCATGCAAAATACAATGGTAAAATTGTAGGTAAAATAAAATTTCATAGAAGTAATAAAATATTCAAAACAAAACCTGTTTTCTTTTAGTAAATAAATTCGATAAGAAGCTTAAAATTATAGTTTTAAATATTTAAGACAATATGAATGGGGAAAGGGTAAAATAAACAATAACTGGTAACACTATCCAATTTTTAGGCCATTTCCTTTGTCACTTTGTGTAATTAAAAGATTAGAAAATTTAAAAAAATATTAGTGTACATTGAATAATATACTGTAAAATAACTCCCATTCATATTGACCTAATGAAGAACATAACAAAATAGATTTTAGCTTAAACTATCTCTGGATACATATTAATACAGTCCTTTTACATATTCAAGGCATACCAATGAGGAATAGACTAGCACAATGCTAAACGTCTTAAAAATCTAATATAACAATCAGCCAATACAAAAATTTTAAAATGCAAATTCCCTGGAAATTGACAAATAAATTTGAAAAAATACAATGCCAAATGCACTAACGGCAGTGGGGTTTATATATATAATAGAAAGGGTATCATTCCGAAACCAAACACTTGAATTTCTTTTGTGTAATTATGCTCAGTTTATTATACAAATTGGTATAGCAATACCACTAGTATAGCCAACCAAATCAAAGAGGGAAACAAACCACTGATTGCAAACAATCAAAAGTGGCAATTCCAAAAATAAAACTTTGATTGACAACACCCCTACTGAATCTAGATAGACCTCAAAATAAGGATAACGGGTCACTGTCCCTTAAACAAATACCTATACACAATAGGTGCTACTGTCAGTCAGTCCCCTTTGTCGGGGCTGCTTTGAAGTCGAAGAAACAGTTGCTCACGTAATCTATGTATGTAATGGAGCGTAGCATTGGCTACATAATGAAAAAAAATCCTCGAAACGGTGAGGTCGCTCCGTGAAGCCTGTGAAGACATCAGGAGACTTCTGCGCTTTTGGGAGGTGATTGGCTGGCTACTATAGTAGTCTCAGCTCTACACGCACTACGGCTCAGATGGGAGGCTGATTGCAGAAAATGGAGTCCAACTAGTAATAGTAAATACTTTAATTATTTGTGGTACATATATTACATTACAACACTCAAATTATAATCGGTAGTATATGCATTCGTTATATATGCACAAACATTACCCATATAAAAATATTATCGTTAGTCTATGTTTTACATGTTGTTATACAACTTGCTTATAAATTCCCTTACAGCGTCAGGAGAGCAGAACTATAAAATATAAATTACAAATTATATATACCGTACAGAGTAACTAGTACTTAAGCCGTAACGTAGTAGTTGGCGACAGACCTTTTATATTTCTTTTCTTATTTTGAACTATGTTTTTATATTCAATTTTATACTTTTATATTTCTGGCAACGGCAATCATTTACAGTATATTTAAGACAAGTTAAATATACTGTAAATGATTGCCGTTGCCAGACATAATATCGTATCGTAACCTCAGAATTATTACTGTTGTTACTAGTGACTACTACCTAGTGTCACTACACGCTCCGAGACTCGGTTGATATATCTTAGAAAAAATAGTGATGTAACAATACAGTTGCAATGAGTACTAATAAGTTTAGTAACTAACATATACAGGTATACCATTTGTTATTACTTGCACAGCCCTACTACGTAATAGTCTTAAGTGGTGGTTTATATAGGCCATATTTCTTTTTTTTAATTTCCACTGCTAGAGAATCGATACAAAAGCTTGTATCGATTCTCTTCCATAGAACATCTGTAGTTAATATTTAAAAGAAAATTACGTCATCATGTATATTTTAAATTAAGAACAATAAATTGTTTTTGTAATTGGGGTTATTATAATGTTGGCAATAAACGTTTTCTTTCTTTCAACTCTGAGCAGTACAAATGATATATAAGAATAATTTTATACCTCTCTTTTTATAAAATTTGAACAGAATAGTCACTTGACTAACCAAAATAAATAAACCTGTTTCCACCTTGCGTCATCTAGACCAAAACTACCAAAAGTAAGCAAAGCTTGTACGGGATGACTTAAGAATGATTCAGTACTTAATGTACTGTACATTTTAATATAAATGCATATAACACACAGAAAACACACACAGTTAGATTTCGGCTCGTACCCTTTCCGTCAAATTGCTATATATCTATTCAACAAGCTCTTGTAGCTGACGAATCGCCGGTCACAATTCATAAAGTGCAAATCTAAAACTACTAAAATAGTAGGATTAATATTAAAAATTCAGTCACTATAACATGTCTACATATAAAGCCTGTTTATGTGGTAAAAAACTTAATAAAACAGTAATATTCTTTCGTTGACAGGTCAGTCACTAAAATTTGCGTTTTTTTTTTTAAATATAATAATTGAAGTCTTTTTTTAAGGCGACGGCATACATTTGAGGCGTTCGAATGCTGCTTTTTCTAGTGCTTCCCTATGGTTGGGATGGGCGACGTTGATCAGCTCGTAGGCGCGTTGTCGGAGGGTCTTCCCGAAGAGATGGGCGATGCCTTGCTCCGTCACCACGTAGTGCACGTGCGCGCGAGTTGTTACAACGCCGGCACCTGTCATCAAAGTGCTGTATAACTTTTCTTTCCATATAGCAGTTGAAGTTCCTTTCCGAATTGGTCTGAGTGATATCGTGTACTGAATATATGTAAGTACTAGTTGTACCCCCGGGCACAACTTTATAGCCTATATGTTATTCTGATGTATAAGCTATATTACTGTAAACTTTCATCAACATCCGTTCAGTAGTTTTTGCGTGAAAGAGTAACAAACATCCATCCATATTCTTTATAATATTACTAAAGATAATTGCAGTATTAATAACGTGTACTATTCGAAAATTTAAAAACAAGTGTCTCAATACCGTTTACGTCAGTCTGCGTGTCAATACTTACCAACTTTGAGTGTAGGCACAATCTTGCTCTCTCCTTTTTTGGTGGTGGAGACCAGGGCGATGATCGGCTTGCCCTTTCCATCTACAGCTTCAGCAGCACCCCGGATGAAGTCCACTTGTCCACCGAAACCGGAGTAGAAGCGTGTACCTAAATATGTACATCAATTAATCAATTACTAGCGACCAATCCCGGCTTCTCATGGATGCTGTACAAATCTTTAAATTTTTAAAAAGCTTGTTCTTTTATAACACACATGTATTATACATATAAACCTTCCTAGAATCACTCTATATATTGCTGAAAACTGTATAAAAATCCGTTGCGTAATTTAAAAGATATAAACGAACAGACTTCGACGGCGATTATATTTTATACTATTGTTAAATCAATCAATTATATAACAATTAGTTAAATGGTCGACGTCAAATCTAGCGTCGATGACGGCATCAGTCAATCGACCAGTGAGAAGCAGCTCATCACGCGACACATATGATACAATAAAAAGGGTGGATGAATTTCAAAAACGTTAAGTTGTTGCAAATAAACCTTCATGAGGAGAGGTCACAGTTTTATTTAAAAACACAAAAAACAAATTAACCATCTGGACCTTCGTCCTCTTCATCAACCAGCAACCAGAGGAGGACAATTATGATAAACTCACATGGTGATATCGAACATCATCAATAACCAGTTCGGTAAGACGTACCAGCCAAGATATCTCAATCATCCTTCACCTGTGTTAATACTGTTTTTTCAACGTTTCTAGTGTCGTGTGTTAATACTTCACGCAAATTACGATCCTAGTTACAGTCAACGGTCAACGCTTCAAATTTCGCAAATTATCATTAACAAAATGAAATCGGTATTTACATTAAATAATTTTGATAGATCTCCTAATAAAAGTTAGAATTACTATATATACGCAAAAGAGTTTCATTAAAGGTAGGTTAACAAAATTGCATAAATACTAGAATCACTTTTCTTTGTGTTTCTTCAAAAAAGTCTTGAATTCAAATTACGTAATACAAGGCGCATTACTACATTAACCGATTTTAATGAAGTTAAGTGTTAAATTTTAGAGTATTCTGATGATATCGATGAACAATTAGAGCATAGGGAAGAATTTATAAACTCGGTGTGATTGCTAGGGCTGATGAGTTGCTATCTGGTGACAATCGCACGAAGATTCTCCATCACTTAATTTAATGAAATTGCCGACCTTATCTTTACCTTCCTATGACGGTTCCTTTGAAATTTGGCATGCAGTATAGGGATTGTTACCTATCACTAATACATCAAAGAAATAAGCGCAATACAAAAATTTCATTATTTAAAATCATCATTGAAGGGTAGCGCTGAATTAGTTATAGACTCACTAGAGTTTTCTGCAGCTAACTATTCCTTTGTCATGGGAGTTTTCGTAAATAGGTATGATAATAATAGATTACTTATTCATAACCACGTTAAAGCATTATTTTCAATCCAACCATTGACAAAGGAATCACCTAAGAGAGTTATTGAGAAATTCTATCGACACTGTACTTAAGAATATACGGCATTAAAAATTCTCGGTGAGCCTACTGAACATTGGGACACACTAATTATTTATATAATCGAATAAACATTCAAGAACGATAACTATATATATATATTATATAATTAACAAGTGATTCTCAATGTATGAAACTCAAAATTTGCTTGATTTCGTTGGTCGTAGGGCGGACATGTTAGAAACGTTAATCGATGTCAAACAATTGATGCACAATAATATTAAAAAACAACACATTAATCAGTCGCATGTGATACACTGTAACGTTTCTTCCATGTCAAATAAACCACAACAAAATACAATTACACACTACAAATCCTGCCCTATGTGTCATTCCAAACATCCATTATAAATGTATATATATATCTATCAGTTTTAGATAGATGTAAAATAGTCACACAAAATAAATTATGCGAGACTGTTTGTCTAGGTTTAAGAGAGCATGTCGGCACTGTTCGTGTAAACATAATACACTATTACATCGAGATGACACACACTTGAAGAATAGATGGAGGCACGCAAAATAACGCTTTAACGTTATTCACATTAGATAACAAATCGCATCAAAGAGGACAAGTGAACCGGTCTTGCTATCTGCGCGTTCTTGGCGTACGGGACAAAAGTAAAAACTATATCAGCGTCCGCGCGCTTCTCGATAGCGGTAGTCAGCGGTCGTTCATTACAATCATTATGCAATAAAATAAATGACAATTAAGTCCATTATAACAATATGATGGAAATCTGATTATAGAGTTGTAACATCAATATTAATAATTATATAAATATTCAATGTTTAGTGCTACAACATATAACAACAAAGTTAATCAACATCAATAAATATATATATATTCTAATATATATAATAAAATATCTCGGTCACAATCGGTCGACACAGCCGCCATCTGGGATCTCCTTGATGAAGGAAAGATTCGTCTTGAAAATGGTCCATTTATACAAAACACAAAATTGATATAACCTATATATGCACAAAATTCACAAGTTTCATGCAATTTTACTCACACATTAGACTCAAGAATGAACTTGAGGAATTGACGAGGGTCACTAATGTTCGATTGACGCGATAGAGCGAATAGTCACAACGCGCACAAGGAAGGCAGGTTTTGTGTGCGCATATTTAAGGATGAAAATTACGGGTGAATCAACCTCAGGCACTGAATCGATTTTATGCACTTGAGAAACGATTGAACGCACATAATTACAAACAATTTTTTTTTATGCGGGAATACATTGAGGTGGGGCATATGTCACGAATACAAAAAAATACTCCACACTACATAAAATCATGGTGTTTTTCGCTCATAGTTTAAAAAAACTACAGGTTGTATTTGAAAAATATATAAAAAATCGCGCGAAAAATATAACAAGATCATCGGATTTTGATATAGGTTGCTTTCCATTGCGCAAGTGGATATTCAATCACAAAGAATCGTCATCAACTTCATGCACTCACACGCTGCAGGAGTTAACACGCGATCATTCATGGCGGCACACTTTAACCAAAATCCAGCGGACATAGTATCCCGCGGTGCCTACTTAGATACACTACACACTAATAATTTATGGTGGGAAAGGACGTGTCGCCTATTTTAATTGATTCAAAGTATAACTCATCAACCATTTGTTGTAGTGAGAATGAGGACAGTTCAGGTCGTCTGTTGTCTGAACCCGAGGTTAAATCAAATTCAGTTCATACTTAGTCATAACACAAGATTTGAGTTGGTTTCCTTTTCATAGATTCTCACAACTCAATCGCATGATACGCACCTGTGCGTATATTTTCCTGTAATAAATAACACACAAATTAAAAATAATAAAAATGTACGTGTCGATGAGTTATGAATCACAACAAAGGTTAATACATTTTGTTCAATTGGAATCCTACTTTGACATTTACACTACATTAATAAAAAATAATTTAAATAATTCGCACAATTTATCAAATTTAAATTTATTTCTAGATAAAAATAATTTAATTAGAGTAGGTGGTCGGCTTAGTAATTCGTCATTTACTTACGACAAAAAACATCCCATATTATTATCAGGCAAACATCAATTTACCATTTTTTATGCGGAACACAAACGTCTACTGGGGACAGGCTCTCTTGTATGCGATAAGAGCGGCTGGCCGATTGGTAAATGATTGCCAGCCGTACATAATTGTGCTAGATGCGCTCGCTTTCGTGCTAAACCGCTAACACCCTTATGGGTAATCTTCCTGTGCAACGGGTAACTGGATTGTCCATTCATGTGTTCTGGAGTCGATTACATGGGTCCGGTTTATATTTTAAATCGAAGCGTTATAAAGGCATATGTTGCAATTTTCATTTGTTTTACTACTCGCGCAGTTAATTTAGAATTGGTAGGTGATTTGTCAACAGACGCGTATTTATTGTCTCAAACGATTTATTTCTCGCCGTGGTAAACCATCTGACATGTTTTCAGACAACGGCATATGTTAACTTTGTAGGACTCATGAATGAATTTCAAAATTTTCTCTCTAATTGTTCACAAGATATTATTTGCTACGCTATTAGTCAAAAAATTAAATTCCATTTAAGTTATTTCCTCATTGGGGTGGTCTGTGGGAAAGTGGTGTACGCTCATGCAAGAATGTATTGCGACGCGTAGTCGGTAACGAGCATTTAACATATGAAGAATACGGTATTAACACAGGTCGTAGCTGTTTTGAACTCCCGTCCATTAACATGTTCCACAGATCCTCATGACTATATTTCCAGCTCATTTCTTGGTCGATCGGCTGAGTAGCGTGCTCTGATGTTCAAGACTTCACGCCATCAAACTTGACACGATATCAACGGGTAGAACAAATACGCCAACATTTTTGGACAAGGTGGTCCAAAGAATATATATCTGAGATTATGGAACAAATGGAAAACTCGCCAATTACAAGCCAAACACTTTTTGAATAGTCATATTTTGATTCATCACCACTCATTCGGGCAAAGCAGATTCGCCGACATAAGGACGGAAGATCGTTAGGCGGGCATTCTCTAAAATATGTGTGTTGGAACGAAGAAGAAGAACTGTTGGAATAGGTTTTTTTTTAAACAGTAGTAGCAAATCTGTTGAAGTATAATGCTAAAAGTCACAGGCGCCATAATCAACCACCACTGGTCGACGTCATTATCTAGCGTCGATGAATCAGTCAATCATATTGCTCAGCGACACTATGAGCACCAATAAAAAGTTTTCTATAAATCGTTGCAATAAATTCTTAAATTTTATTTAAAAACACTCTTCCTTACCAAAAAACAAATTAACAACTATGTAGTTAAATCAATCAATTATATAACAATTAGTTAAATAGTGACTGCAGTTTTGATTTCTATGGTGCAGGCGTTAAAGTTTATTTCTCTAACGTTATACATAGGGGAGAAGGGAAGGGACAAATAAACCCATAGCTAGCAATGTAACATGTCAGGTTGCCATCTGGTTCCTCTTGGAAACCATCATGATAAACTCCTGGTGAAATTGTCACTATGGAATAACCGATTTGACCTCATGCTCATCTTATCATCCTCCACTGGTGATAACTTCCACCGCCAGCGAAAGCCATTAGCGCAGGCGGGTGCAGCATCTCATTATCATTAATAAAAAAACGGTATACATTAAATAATTTTGATAGTCCCAAAAAGTTAGCATACAGAAGTTTCTTGAAAAGATCCTGAACTTCTTCTTTGTGTTTCTTCAAAAGTCTTGTCCCAAACTCGTAATGTATTACTACATAGATTTATACAATATAAATAGTGTGTACTCTATGCTTACTATGTATTCTAATAACTATTAACTTTAGTGACTAAAGAAATGCTATAAACTAATTAACTATAAATATATATAACTCAAAGGTGACTGACGTAGTGATCTATCAACGCACAGCCCAAACCACTGAACGGATCGGGCTGAAATTTGGCATGCAGGTAGATCTTATGACGTAGGCATCCGCTAAGATTTTGATTAATTCTACCCCCAAAGGGATAAAATAGTGGATGAAAGTTTGTATGAAATTTTGTCAATTTTAAACCGATCCGGCTGAGACTTTGCATGCATAAAGCTACTATGACGTAGGCATCCCCTAAGAAAGTATGTTGATAAATTCTAGCCCCAAGCGGATAAATTTAAGCGAGCGAAGCCGCGGGCAAAAGCTAGTAACGAATAAACATTAAAACGATAACTATATATATATAGGTATATAATACTAAAAACTAGTGTATGATCTCACCGATGGAGTCGGAGCAGACTTGACCAGTTAGATCTACCTCGATGCAGGAATTGATGGCCGTCATGTTCGGTTGTAAGGACACGATGTGAGTGTTATTCACGTAGTCAATCTCCAACATTTCTGTGAAATTGTACACGTTACATAAACGAGAACTTTACGAGCGAGACATAATTTTTAGTATTCCATGTATTCATCTCACGGGTGCCGGGATTTATGACTGTATGTCTAGGTTTAAGAGAGTGGTGTGGGGCTTAAACCTTACCAACCTTACACCCTACATTTGGAGAATAGATTAGGATTAGCTTTATCACACTTCATCAAAGAGGACAAGAGATCGCACGCGCGTTCCTACGTCCTTCAATAGTGCGTGCTTTATTACCTTTTTATGATAATTAAGTATTATGCAATATGATGGTATAGAGTTATTAATAATTTATAAATTTTAAATGTGTCTTTGGAGAAGTAAAATCTATGGAATACAATTAAAAATTATTAATATATATATTATAATATATATAATAATAATATCTCAGGACAATTCACACAGCGCCATCTAGTCCCAAGCTAAGCAGAGCTTAGCTTAGCTTACAACTGATATAAATACATGGATACATTTTTCACAAACAATCATAATCAAGAATGTGAAATGACATGAAATTTCGATTGACGCGATAGAGCGAATAGTCCAGTGCAATTAGGCATTAAACTCCCAACCGGCTCCCCTTAATTTAATATTAAGTGTCTGTTTGTATTGTCCTACTAACTAGTATTCTCTACCTAATAATGAAAACCTTACTAATAATTGATTGTTGTCCCTCAAGTGTTGTGCTGTCCTTAATTATAATATACCGAACCCGAACGAAATATATATTTTAAACTAAAATAATATAGCTAACAAATTACACTGTGTCTCTCAAACCATGACATTGGCTAAATCACCGATCAAAATTGGTGGCGGCCATTTAAAATAAAGAAGAAGAAGAAGAATTAGGCATTATATGTAAATGAAAAACGGCGGAACCCAATTATAGTGAACGGATTTTAATGTCTTTTATTATTAGATTTCTGATCAGTTAAAAAAAAAAAGTATACCCATTAAAAACATACCGCAATTTAAAAAATATATAAAGAATTTTGAAAAAAGTACAAGCATCAGAATTTTGATATATTTTTTAATTGAACTGAACTAAAATGTTAACTGCAGTCACTCACGATTGCGCGCGCTGGCTTTCCCGCGCTAATATTAGCGTGATACTGATGGCGCATGAAAGGACGTGTCGTGTAAAGGCAACTAGATATAATTGTGTAGAATATTACCAATGAAGGGATTGTTGTCAACAAAGTCATACAACTGCCGGTTGCCCACCAAGAAACTGCCGACAATGCGTCCCTTATGCTTCGTCTTCCTGTAATAAATAGCAGAAAACAAATAAAAAATTACGTCACGACCGTTATCCCAGATGGAGCAGTGTCTCTTACACTGTCAGTTGCCGAGGTCGCAACGCTTAACATGTTATTTAGGTTTTTTTTCCCTGTTTGCATATGAAGCTGCTGTATGCTTCATGAAGGAGAATTACTGGCCGAAGATGATGTCGTCTGTGCCGTGACAATAGTCATATTTATACTAACTGTGCCCGCGTGAATTTTTTTGCCTTATATGTTATCCTTATGTATCAGCTATAGTACTGTAAAGTTTCATTAAAATCCGTTCCGTAGTAGTTTTTGCACGTTAAATTAAAAAAAACTCATTAAAGTTGTTTCGGAGGAGTTTGGTAACAAATATCGCGGCACGAGAATTTTATATATTAGATGTATATTAATATGTTTACGAGTTCACGACTATAATTCGAGATGGGATAGCATTACTGGTATTAGTAATTTGCTAGTATTATAAGTAGAAATAGAAGTAATCTTTATTCAAATAAACTCATTACAAGCACTTTTGAATAGTCATATTTTGATTCTACCACTCATTCGGAATGCAGATTCATCACAAGATGAATGAGCGTGAAACTTGTGTTGCTCTTTTGAATAGATTTGTTTTATATATATAAATAATTACAGTATAACTAGTAAGAGGGATGCGATAATCAACATACACACTCATTATTAGTGTAATCAGATAATATTGTCAGCGCTATGGATTTTAAGTTTTCTATAAATCGTTAACAAATTCTTAAATTTTATAATAAGCTTTTTTGCAAAGGAATATTCAACTTAAAATACAATGAAAGAACAACATACTTGTTATTAGTGATACATCCACGCTTGACGAGGTCGATGACACCCACGCTGAACATCTCCGAGTGGATCCCAAGGTCCTTGTGGTCCTTCAGTGCCGACAGTACAGCGTCAGGGATGCTGCCGATACCTGGTGATATATATAGAGGGCCAGTTAGGGGGCGAGTGCAGATGGCACTCCAAACCCGCGGAAGGACTTATGGAGCGGCTGAAGGCCAACTCCTGTCTGACGGATACGACTTTAACCTGAGGGCACCACTAGGGGTTCGAACCTCGGCTCAGGTCATCGTAATATTGATCCCTATTTGAATTGGACGGGGGATCGATCGGAGGGGCGCACGGGGGCGCCGGAAAAGTATAAGTAGGCGCCCAATAATCGAAATTCGAAATAATTAATTTAAATTATAAGTTTCAACGCAATTAATTTTTTTTTTGGTTCTATTTATCATTTAAAGGAAAGGCAAAGGAAACTGCGCCCATACATCCAAGTAGTAAGGTTCTCTTATATAAGACTTGACATTATTTGACAGTGACGTTTAGTTATCAGCCGTGTAAATTAATAGTAGTGTGTGTAATTTTTTTTTAATGATTTAATGTACTTTTTATGCATAATTAAAAAAAACCATTCTACACTATTTCTCCGTATAAATTATAAGAGTGCGAAATTTCATATTCCTCCGTATTTAGTCTACGTATTTATTTTAAAAGGTTTATTTATATTTAAGATTAAGATTTATGTTTAGAAAGCATGGGTTACGAGAGGATTATTGGTAATGTACCACTCAGAGAATATCTATTTCTTTCCCACTCACCCATTTGTAGCGTAGCTCCATCCACAACCAGATTCTTGCCTATCAGCTCTCCGATCTTCTGCTCTTCAGGGCTCGCCGTCTTGTCAGCACCGTGTTCAGGTAACGGTACGTTGTCTTGTACCGCATAGTCTATATGGGAGACGTGGATGATAGCATCGCCGAAGGTACGAGGCATGTGTGTATTTATTTGTGCTGAAAAAAATATATATATATTATTTTATTTTATTTAGTTATTTATTATTATATTTTATTCTATTTATATAGCTAACAATGCTTATACAATATATTCACATCATTTGATGTTCACGCGTTCAGTTAGTTATAAATAATGGTTGCTTATTATTAACTTATTCACAAAGGCTTATAATATAAATGAAGGGTAGACAAATTATTACTTTATAATTTATTTATTTACTAGCTACCCCCCGCACCGGCTTCGCACTGGTGTACAAGTATTATATAGATAAACCTTCCTCTAGAATCACTCTATTACAAAATACAGCTTCAAAATCCGTTGTGTAGTTTTAAAGATTTAAGCATACATAGGGACAGACAGCGACAGCAATAAGTTTTAATTAACATAAATATCTTTGGTTTTCTATGATACAAGGGTGTCGCCAGAATATTTTAACCTGTAAAGGGGTCGCGAAATCAGAAATTGAAAACACTGGCATAGAGAACAATTATAAAGTTTTTGGTACACTCACCGACAATAATCTTGGAGTTTACTAGCGCCGCCCGCACACAGTCGACAGAGGTACCGAGACTGCAGTACCCGTGATTATCCGGTGGCGATACCTGAAATCACAAATATACACAAAATACAAAATCCTTCATTCAAATAAACTACAATTTATGCACTTTTCAATAGTCTTAACCGTGATTTTTTTCCGATTGATTTTACCTCTTTCGGTAATTTGATTTAAATCTATACATATAAATAAGATTGGAGTGTCTGTTTGTAATATTGAAATAACCGCTTTTTACTACATTCATAGGAATATAAATATGGTACATACATAATACAAAATAACATTTTTTACAAATTTTGTCTGTCTATCTGTTTGTTCCGGCTAATCTCTGAAATGGATGGACCGATTTTGACGGGACTTTTTTTGGCATGTAGCTGATGTAATAAAGAGTAACTTAGGCTGCTTTTATTTTAGAAAAAATATTTTATTTTAGAAAAATAAAGTAATGGTGCAAAATTCCACGCGCGTTCAGTTAGTTATAAATAATGGTTGCTTACCGTAATAAGAGCAATGTCGGGTTGGATGATTTTCCTGTGGAACAACTTGGGGATATCCTGGAGAAATATAGGGATGGCGTCCGATCGGCCTTCAGCTACCGACTTGCGTACATTGGCTGCCATGAACAGAGAGACAGACCTGAAAATTGTATTCATATATATCATATATATCAGTAATATTGTGTAGAATCCTAATAATAATAATCCTGGACAGTTCACACAAGCCATTTGCTCAGGCTAAGCATAACTTAGACCACATCATCACTTAACATCAAGTGAGATTGCGGTCATACGCGCTCAAATTTTAATTAAAAAATAATAACTGCCAAACTTAAGAGGAAACGCCACTACACATCCTATGTGGCTGTAGCCCACACATAAACGAAATATCTCCTTTGGAAAGTTTACACTCTTTCCCGAGGAGATATAAACCATCGCTCTATTTTTATATCCTACAATTCTTGTCCCTGACGGGTCTAGGTAGCGAACTCTGAAAAAGGACGAGCGTAATAGATCTATGTAGGTCGCAGTGCTACAGCTGCTACAGGGGCTACAGGGGAAGCGAATTGTTAGTAATGTGGACTGATGATCTTATTGCTAGCAATGTACCATGTTAGGTTGACCTCCACGCGGTTCCCCCGGGAAACCATTGTGATAAATTCCTGGTAAATTTGTCACGATGAGCTAACTGACCTGACCTCATGTTCATCTTATCATCCTCCACTGGTGCCCCGCCAGCGTAAACCATTAGTGCAGGCGGAAGCACCAATCCATTATCATCCCTTAAAAAAAAACATCTGGCACCTGTAGCACTAGCCTAAACAACCCAATAAAAAAAATGTAGGACTTGTGTTTTTTATAATACAACAACAATTAAAATTACATTATAAGACAGTTCCATTATCTATAGATATAAATAAAATTGGAGTGTCTGTTTGTAATATTGAAATAACCGTATTTTACTACATGCATATGAATACAAATACAGTACATACACAAAACTATTTTTTTACAATTTTCTCAGTCTGTCTGTTTGTTCCGACTAATCTCTAAAATGGCTGGACCAATTTTGACGTGACTTTTTTTAGCAAGTAGCTGATGTAATCAGGAGTAACTTAGGCTACTTTTATAAAAAATCTTTTATTTTAGAAAAACCAAGTTAAATTCCACGCGGACGAAGTCGCGGAAACAGCTAGCCATTATATAAGAATATCCCTCTCACCACCTGTCATTCATACATACATAAAATAACCTATCGTTAATCCGATAACAACCGATAAAAAATCGCGGGATCAGATAGTTAATAATTCAGGACCAAGCTGTAATATTTGGAAATACAGCTGTACAAATAACCAGATAAGTATGTAATAGATAACATACACGAACAAAATTGTTAAATTAAACAAATATCATTAAAACTGAATGAGTGTTAGCCTTACTAAAATGTATAAATGAAAAAGTAACTCTGTCTGTCGCGCTTTCACGCCTAAACTACTGAACCGATTTAAATTAAATTTGGTACACAAACAGTCTAGACGTGTAAATCTTATATACAAAATTCTCGTGTCACAATGTTAGTTACTATACTTCTCCCAAACGTCTTGATCGATTTTTATGAAATTTTATATGCATATTCAATAGGTCTGAGAATCGGCTACAATCTATTTTTCATACCCCTAAGTGATAAGGGTTATCCAACCCTAACATTATTTTTTTTATGTTTTGGGCAAATTTTTTTTAGTTATATTTTTTTAGTATCATCATTATCATTGCCTTGCCTTTATTCCATTATTTGGGGTCGGCGTAGTATGTCATTCTCTTTATCTCTCTATCAGTCCATATCTGAACATTTTTTTTTCATATCAACTTTCACACAATCCATTTTTTTGTCCCCTCCCTTTACATCCATCCACATTCATATTATACACTTATATATATATTTTTAGTATGTGTCATTAAAAAATACATACAACCCTAAATATTCACCCTTCTACCACCAACCCCTTATTTTTTTATAGCGTTACTAATTTATATGGCAAAACAACGTTTGCCGTGACAGCTAGTATACTAATAAATTTCTTCATATGGAAATCAAAATCGAACTGAGGTCAGTAAAAATCTTTGATCACTGATAAGCAATATCACCGGAAAATAATAAGTACAAAGTAATATTATCTAAGACAGTAAAAATGATAACTTCATAGTCGTCAAGATACAGTACCGACTCGTATCACATACGTACGCATATATTCTTATCATTTATCACACTCAACTGTATTATACAATACAAAAGTTGAATAATCAAACAAACACCGTTATCATACTAAAAACTAATCCGAGAGATGGTAGGTTTGCCCTCTGCTATTTTGGACTCAGATCGACAGGAATTCATCCCCTCAACTACAACCTAACGCCCCATTTACACTCAGTCCGAGTGGGCAGGGAAGTGAGCAGCGCTAGAGTATAAACACGATACTTTCCATACCATTGGCGCTGCCACTCGCGCTGCACGGTTTTTCGTGCGCGAGTCAAAGGATTGGCAGCGCGAGTGGCAGCGTGTGTTTACATTCAGCCCTCTCGCTCAGTTGTCACCCGGTATTATTTCCGGCAGCGCGAGTGGCAGGGGAAGCGGCTGAATGTAAACGTAACATGATATCTCGGACGGTGCGGTTTCAGAGGAGCTTCCTCCCGCGTACACTTTTATGCCGGAATGAATACCTGCCGAGGTTTTCTCACTAGACTACTGTATGAGGTTTTTTAAGAAGGATATATGCCGGAATGAATACCTGCCGAGGTAACCATTTCTCAGATGGGTCTATGTTTGACTACTGTATGAGGTTTGGAGTGCGCTATGCACTCGATTTTTTAAGAAGGATATATTAAGGTTTCTGAAGAAAGAGGTAATTATTATTATGTCACAGCAAATATTTAGTACAATATATGCGATTGTTTAAGTGACAGAAATATACAGTGCAAGGATGCGTTTGATTACACATTCGCTTTCTATTTATAACTGAGTGGGAATATCTTTGAACCTTTGCGCAGGCGCCACGCCCGTGTGACGTCACGGCCAGTGCACGACAACAAATTAATGAATAATAAGGTTTCTATGCCCCGTGTCTAAATTTGGGACACTAAAATTCAACCTTAATTCCGTGGTGGTGGAGGGGATGGTGATAGGATGCAGATGGCACTCCAAATCTGCGGAAGGACTTATGGAGAGACTGAAGGTCAACTCCCGCCTGACGGATACGACTTTAGCCTGAGGATCGCTAGGGGTTCCAACCTCGGCTCAGTCCGTCGTAATTTCGATCCCCGCTTGAATTGCATGGGGGATCGATCGGAGGGGAGAAAGTCAGTAAATGCAAATTTACCTTTCCAATAACGATACGTCGTCGCATTTTGAGTTTCTAATGAAATACAGGGGCGATATTATTGACGTGGTGTTTACATTGATACGTTCAGAAGTACGTCAGATAACAAGCGACTAACTGAATGTTAAATAACAGTTGATATTCCGACATGCCTAGTATTTGCACATATTCGCTTACCGCTTGTACAAAGTAGTCTGTCTGCATTTATCCGCCAACCACCTTGCTTCGTAGGACATGTTACAGTAATAATAATAATAATATGATTTATTTTTACATTGTATTGTATTGTATCTTTACATTGTACAAAACAAAGTCACCGCTTCTGTCTGTTCCCTTATATCTTTTAAATTACCGTCATTGTTAAGTCAAAGTCTTGAATCTTTATCTTTAAATAGTATAAAATGAAGTAACTTCTGCTGTCTGCTCGCTAATTTTTTAAACTAAGTAATGGATTTTAATGTACAGGCGGTCCTCGACTTACGTCGTTTCGATTTACGTCGTTTCAAGTTACGTCAAACAATATTTTGACACTATTCCTCAAGCATACGTCATTTGTTTCGATTTCCGGCATATACACTTGTCGCAAGGTCAATGTTAGGGGCGCGGTGTCGTCTTGATGTCGCTGATTTTGTTTAGTACATTCAGGGACAACGGACAATCAAGACGTAATAAATTAGTTTTTTTGCATCTTTGACAGTTTTTGTGTTTACATACATATTTAAGTGAATTTTAAACAATGCCACCTAAACAAGACAGTAATAATAAAGTGAAGAAGAGAGTAAGAAAGTCAATTACAATGGATAAATCAAGATTTTAAAACTCAAAGATCGCGGTTATTCGACTTCATCTATTGGACGAGAACTTAATTTATCACGCACGACGGTACAAACAATATTGAAAGATAAAGAAAAACTCTTAACAGCTCTTCCTTCCGTCTCTTCAAACAGCACTATTATACGCAAAAGGAATGCTTTAATTTATGAAATGGAAAAACTGTTGTACAATTGGATTCGATCTCAGCGACGGGTTCCTCTAAGTTTGGCTATTATACAAAATAAGTATCATCAACACACTGCAAAATAAACGTGGCGAGAATAATAGTGACGAAACAAAATGTTTTTCTCCAGTCGCGGATGGTTCATGCGCTTTAAAACGAGATATTCGTTTAACATTCGAGTGCAAGGAGAATATATAGTGCCGATCATGTGGCTGCTCAGAGTTTTCCTGGAATATTAAAGGAAATTTCGAAAGTGGAGACTATGCCTAAACAAATTTTTAACGTGGACGAAACTGGTTTGTTTTGGAAAAAAATGCCCTCTCGTACAAAAAAAGTCATGCCTGGATTTAAAGCGGCTAAAGATCGTTTGACGTTGTTATTGGGTTCGAATGTTGAAGGTGATCTTAAATTGAAACCCCTTTTAGTTTATAGGTCTGAAAATCCTCGAGCTCTCAAAAATTACGTCACTCTTCCAGTTATATGGAAGGCTAATCCAAAGGCATGGGTTACATCAATACTTTTTGAAGAATGGTTTACTAAGCATTTTATACCTGAAGTGAAACAGTACTGTTCAAACAATAATTTGGCTTATAAAGCTTTACTTATTATTAAAATTAATAACACACAAATACCAAAAATAACTAGCAATTTCATAAGTGCATAATATATAATTATTTTAAGAACTTACTTTTAATAATAAAGTACGTCCTTTGTTATAAATGCAGTTTTTTTTATTATTTCGAGTCCGTGTGGAACCTAACCCTTGAGTTTTACATGTAAACATATGAAAAAATATGTCTCGACTTACGTCGTTTCGATTTACGTCGCGTATTTCGAGAACCTAACATGCCGTAAGTACGAGGACTGCCTGTATTTTCAGTAATAGATATGTATAATACATGTACACCCGTGCGAAGCCAGGGCGGATAGCTAGTTTACAAAGTCGCTGTTGCTCTCTGGGCGTATTATTTTATATATTACTAGTAATGATACAGACTTTATAGTTTACTAACGATCCGTCCCGTTTTCGCACGGATGGATTAGAAACCTTTGAATTTCTCGACTTGTTCTATACACGCATGTAACATACAAATAAACCTATACCTAACACAATAAATAGAAGCACTCTATTTATTGCTGAAAACCAGGGAGCTCCGTAACCGAAACCGAAACTATCGGATATCCGATATAAAAAAATATTCGTAACCGTAACTGAATCCGAAATAAAAGTTTCGGTTAATATCTAATTGAGACGCCTTATGTAACCATTTTATTAGTTTTTGTATTTTACTTTTGAAATTCCTTAAAAAATTCATATCCGTAACCGAAATTATCCGAAACTAACGGATAATCCGAAATAATTTCGACATAATATCCACATCCGTATCCGTGTCCGGTATAATAATCAATTCCTATATCCGAAACCTATCCGTATCCGAAATTTCATATCCATAACATGCCTGATTACTAGTTACGATACAGACTTTATAGTTTACTAACGACCCGTCCCGGCTTCGGACGGATGCATTACAAAACTTTGAATTTCACGACTTGTCTATACTATAACACACATGTAATATACAAATAAACTTACCTTTAGAAGCACTCTATCTATTGCTGAAAATTACATTAAAATCGTTACGTAATTTAAAAGATATAAGCTATCAAATAGCAGCAGCGAAATTTTTTTTGTACATACTGTCTAAGATTCTACAAGAAATTAAAATAATCTATAAATAAAATACACCTATATATCATAAAAAAAGTCTACTCGTTTTTTTGTGGAAACGCAATAATAAACAGAAAACATATGTCTAGCATTAAATATAGTAAAAAAATTGTTATATTATTTTATAGTATTATTAGTTACGATACGGACTTTAGTTTAAGTATATACATACATACTCGTACTATACCTACATACTATGCTGATTTCGTCTACCAAAGTCTATTGATTCAAAGTTCAAACTCTGCTATCTCGTTTACATTCTTATTAATAGCAATACATATAGTCCGGTTGCTAATAGCTACAAACATCTTCTTTTTTATAACATAACATACAAAAAGTCAGCTAAATATATGACCCTGATGATTGCCTGCAAACAATCATTGTTTATTATAATATATTTACGTATTGTTTGTAGTGACGAAATAAAAACAATAATAATAATCTTTATTTGTCGCAAACAAAAACTTTTCACACAATACAACATTGCCCATACAATAATGTAATTTAAAACTAATGAATGAGACAAAACGGTCTATAACTCAGTGAGGGCAGTGAGTCCACCCTCTCTGCTATTCTGTTATAGCCTTTATCAGTAAAATAATACAATATGAGATCGACGACGAAAAATAGGAAATAATCCATTTATATAAACACTAGCTGTATCCGCGACTTCGTCCGCGTTGAGTAGTCAACGAATGACGAATTTCCATACAAACTTCCACTCCTATTTTATTTTAAGGGTAAATGTATTACAAACTTTGAATGTCATATTTATTTATTTGTATTAAATCAACAGCCTAAAAAATAATTTAACTTCTACCTTTAAAAATGACGATACTTCAATACAAACTCTCATCTACCCTTTCAACCCCTTATAACGCTTTTTTGCATTAAAAAGAAAAGAAAGCCTATGTCCATTCTCAGGTGACTAGACTAATAGATTTCCAGTGTACCAAATTTAATTTAGATCGGTGAGACAAACAGAGTTACTTTAGCATTTGTAATATTAATTATTAATGTTAAAAAAATACCTATGTAGTTTTATGCTACGTTTACAATCAGCCGCTTCCTCTGCCACTCCCGCTGCCGGAAATATTGCCGGGCGACGAGCGAGAGGGCTGAATGTAAACACACGCTGCCAGTCCTTTCCGCGCACGAGAAACCGACAATCGAGGCAGCGCCGAGCTGCGCGTGTGACAGCGCCAATGGCATGGGAAGTATCGTCTTTACACTGTCGCGCTGCTCACTTCCTGCTAACTTCCCTACCCACTCGGGCCGAGTGTAAACGTGGCACTACACTCAACCCGAGTGGGCAGGGAAGTGTAGCATTATGTATTCATAGGTATCTTCTCCACTGTGGACTTTGATTCAATTGCTCCCGTTGTTATTAATTCAGGATCTAATAATGAGCTAGAAACATGTAATATGGAGGCCTTATAACCAGTGCTTTTAAGATTTGCATATTTCTGTTGCTTTTAAACCACTTATTAACGATTTGCTACTAACCTAAATATATCTTTGCATTCCGGCGCAACGTAGGGCGCCTCGTTCTCGGTGTGCATGTGGACCACTTTGATGCCTTGGAGACTGCTGCTTTTGCCCACTTCCGTCATCGCTGTGAGGAGCGAGCTTGGAGTCGCTGCAGCACCTTGGACGAACACCGTCTGAGCTGTAAACAAATAATAATAAATAACCCTGCTGGCAATTAACATAGCGTCATTAAGTCCCACGGTAAGCATAGCTTGTGTTATGGGTACTAGACAATTGATACAAATACTAAGATTTTTTTTTGTAAATGTATCCGTAATATACATAAAAACACCTGGACCGATACAAACATGCATACTCTTGAATACACATGTTTGCACCGTGCCAGGGATCGAACCCGCGACCAGTGGAAGTAAAGCGGTGTGCTATACCGCTAGACCAACGAGGAATCGTAGAAATAATAGTACACAATGATTTTCATTTAATATTAGACATAAATACCTATATATGTATACACTGTGAATATACATACTGTCATATAAAAAAGACATTGAGTCAGTTTCTTGCCAGTTCTTAATTGAATTTGTATATTGAATTGGTCGGTAGGGAAAAATATTAATACACTAGCTGTGCCCGCGGTTTTACCTCCATGAAATTTATAATTAAAATAAGCTATAAAGTTTCATAAAAATCCGTTCAGTAGTTTTTGCGAGAAAGAGTAACAAACATCCATCCATACTCATAAACTTTTGCGTTTATAATATTACAATAAGGTAAACCTTGACGTGACATGAAGGAATGATTTTTCATTGATTTGATTAATAATACACCTAGACAATTCACATTTTGTTATCGGTACTAGACAACTGATATAAATACATACATTAAATACTTAAATACATGTTTTTTATAAATACATAATATATATAGAAAACATACAGACAACTTTACTTTCAATGACCGAGGGTTCGATGCTCGGACTATACAGACATTTTTATTCATGAGTTTGTATCTGTCTGGGTGTTTTCTATGTATTCTATGTAATTACAAAATAAATGAAAAGTCATTTATGTAGGACATTTTAGCCGCTTATAAATATCAGGTTTTATCTTATTAATATTATAAACGCTTTAGCTTGAGACTACTTGGCGTTATTTCTGATATTATATTATTAAAGTTGGTTGAAAGAAAGCAATCTTGATTCATGTACGGTTCTCTATCTAACATTGGCAACGATGTGAGTAAAGAATATTAACCCCGACCTTACAATCACTGAAGGCTATCTAATGTTTATGTAATATGGACTTTAATAATGAACATTTGCATTGTAAACTGATAATATTGTTATAAATAGTCGTCAAAATGTGTGGTGACTATGTGTAGAAAAAATAAAGAATTTGAACTATTAATGAAAAATATAAAAACAATCCATTATCTATATACCTATACATATATAAATGAATACATATACAGAATATATATATATTATAGTAATATATATAGTCTTTGGTATAATCTTTGTATAAGATATAATCATATACATAGTATAAATATAAACTATGATGATTGTAACGTACTCTGTGCAGTTGATAGAGTCTGTATTGTAAAATGGCGGGAACGGCCAAATTAAATGTGAAATGCAAATTAACTTTTTATTCAAATTATTATTTAAATACAGTACAATTATATTTATATATACACCGCTGTAAAGTTGTGTATGTTGTGATGAAGTGTAATAATTGTACATCAGTAAGTTTATTGGATAATGTGTACATGGCATATTAGTAACGCGTACATTCGACGCGGAGTCGTAACATGGACTGACTTTACACTGAACTTAAATCTGTTATCTGGAGACGTAATAATGGAAAAGTCTTAAGTGTTAATACAAATATTAAAAGTGTATTTTTTTTTATTAGGTTGTTTGGCCTGTTGTCAGGTGCTTACCTGTAACATTGTAACCTCATAGATCTATTGTGCTCGCTCTTTTTCATACAAGTGTAGGCACATATATATATCTATGACTTTGTCTATGCCTGATCTAAATGTATATATATACATTTAGATCAGGCATGCATAGACAAAGTCGCGGATATCAACGGGTATTAAATAAAACTATGGTTGTATTTAAAAATGTAAAGATAAGCTTCTAAAATATAACTGGTCGTACTCGACCTGGTTGCATTTGTGACATATTTACATAATGATGTAATTTGTATACATTGTGTATTTCAATACGTTTTCCTTGTAAATTTTCATGCGATTTAACTGTAGATTTAGATTGTAGGTACATCGCAAAATACTCTAAAACAAAGTAAACAAGTATAAATATAAATAGTCATAAATAATAACCCTGGACAATTAACACAGCGCCATCTAGTCTCATGGTAAGCAGAACTTGTGTTATGGGTACTAGACAACTGATATAAATACTTATATTTTTTTGTAAATACATAGAAAACACCCAGACCGATACAAACAATCATACTCATGAATACAAATGTTTGCATCATGCGAGGAATGGAACTCGCAACCACCAGAAGTAAAGTGGTGTGCTAAAGTGCTAGACCACCGAAGCCCTCAAGAAATAATCTTTATTAATCATTATCATCATTTCAGCACGGAAGCAAGAAACTTGTGTTATTTCAATTATTAAGTAACACCTGAAATAGATTCAGAATAAAAAAAAACTAATAAATTGCCATTAAGAACTATCCCGATCATGTCAGCCATCAAACGCATAATAATCGATCAATTCGTTTAGGAAACGATGCCACAAACAAACGAATACACAGACGTCCAACGCCTAATTGCAAAAAAAATTAAGCAAATCCTTTTAACTTTTTAATCATTTTCTTTGCTACTCTAATATATTACGTCGACCGCAAATAAATGGGATAAGGAAGAAGCAGATGCTGATCTCTACAACTTGTATATTGTGTGTACTGTTTGTGTAGCAACTAGCGAGTTTATTTAGTGCAAAGGTCATATTAAGATTACCGTCAGTATAAAAAAATAATATTTTCTAACCAATATCGTAATAAACAAACCCGCTGATATGACATATTTATTATAACATTCATTAAAAAAGCTTACACAAATACTCTTATCTAAATAATTTATAATATGTACGCGTAAATCTATACAAATAAATAAATATGAAGTGCCTGTTTGTACTAAACAATTTTTTACGCATACCGTTGCATAAGGCAATGGTATGCGTAACTTAATAAAAATTGTCTGTCAATTTGTTCTTGCTAATCATCGAAACAACTGGACCGGTTTTGACAAGTCTTCCACTATCAGAATGCTATAAGAAGTAAATAATAACCAGGTTTCCACAGGCCAGTTGGACCTCCAAGTGGTGCCCTGGAAACCATCATACTTATTCCTGATGAATTCAACGTAATGCGCTAATCGACCTGACTTCATGTTCATCCTATTATAATCCTCCACTGGTACTCCGCCAGCGTCCACAGTAAGCGCAGATGAGTGCGCTTTATCCATACATTAAAAAAAACAGTAAAAGAATTTTTCTAATCGTAGCAATCTTTATAGACTTCACTTTTCCCATAAAAACGTTAACAATATTATAATAGAAATAGTACACATTTTTTCCCCTTATTATAGTAGGTACTATTTTTTAACCCCGTTTTTTACTGAATAACATAAATATAATTATGCCATTATACATACACTACATTCATCAATGAATCTAATAATAACTCTATTTTATCACTAATAATCATTATTTAATTACACCCATAAAAATTATTGAATATTACACCAAGTTCAAACTCTAAAGGTACTACCACACTAAAACAGAACGACGCAGACGCGTTTAATCATTTTTAATAACTATTGAACTTAAGTTCAATTTATTGTTTGTTTTTATAGTGAGAATAGGCAGATAAAATGTAAAAAAATATTATTTAAAACGAATCAGTTGGTTACGAGTGTTAGGTTACCAGTATATATATATATGTTATATACCTGATAATATAAATAAATTTTATGCAGTCATTATCTCCACATACTTAATATTAAGGAGATTAACATATTTATAACCAACTAATATATGTAATCAGACACTGTATATTTTCTTAATATTTCAGTTAACATATGTATTTTGAGTGTGGTTAAGGTAAAATGATAAAGATAACTATTCTGAAGTGTATACTTTATACTATTCATCTGGGTTGTGTGTACATTTTGAATGTGGTGATATTCTATCACCATAAAGATAAATATTAAAAATGTTTACATTATGCTAATAAGGACCAATAAACATGTGTATTCTTGCAGTTTATATAAAAATCCTATTAATTAACTAATATATATATAAAATAATAACATTTCAATATACATTTTTTAAATTAAACCTTTTGAGTACATTAAAAGACTGATAAAAAAATAACTGTGTTTCTTGCCAGTTCTTCTCAACTGAATTGTTAACAAAATTGCACACATATGTGTTAATAAAGGTAACAAGCCTGGAATTTAATATTAAAAAAATAAACTATAAGTGTGAGATAAATGTCCTAATATGAAATATGTTTTACTTTAGCTTTGAACTTTTTTTAATCATTGATGTTAGTTACATCATGTCAATATGGATGCACCTTAAGATTAGAATATAAACTTGAATGATATTGAACATGTTATAGGTGACACAAAAAGCTAATCTGTAGTTTTTTTATACTTTTTTTAAGTACAAACATTCCTAATGTTTACTATCTCATAATAACAGTCTGGGCAACATGCCAATGATATCCAATAAAAACACATTGATACAAAAATAAAAGTAGGTAAACATAGTAATGTTTAGATTTGTCAAGGTTAGTGTGAAATAATTTGTCATATATACATATATTTTTTTTATATATTCCTATATTGCACCAACATTAAAAGAAGATCATTCATTAATTTATCATTTAAGAGTTACACTCTTGTTGGTGGATCTCTTACCACTGCTGCCAAAGACAGTTGAAAAAATATAATTAAAGAAAGAAGGTACTAGGTCTAGGTCTTACCGCTAAAGCAATATTTTCCACACAGCCTTAGGAATTAAAATAAAGTAGGCGGCAAAGAGAGTTATACTAGACATGACTGTACATCAATGTAATTTAAATAATATACTTATGTAGATTTTGTTAAAAGACATCTAATGTGGATATCTCAGTCTCATCTACTTCAATGTTCCACTTGTAGGATGAGTAAAGTCAGTGACATTACAGGGTAAAAAGGGATCATGTTAGCCCTCCAGAATAGCAATGCAGGAGTATGATGGGTGTCACGACAATTTGGTGGATGTGGTACTGTTTACCACTTACCATCTGGTGGGCTGTTGGCTTATTAGTCATTATAAAATATATTATTAGTAATATTACATTAATAACATGAGGAATTACTTTGTTCTAGAAATTTTTACTATTATTTTATTGTGTTAATACAGACTCCATATATTTTATATATAAAATTCTTGTGTCACAGTTTTCATTCCCATACTCCTCCATAACAGGTTGACCCATTCTCATGAAATTTTGTGAGTGTATTGAGTAGGTCTGAGAATCGGCCAACATCTATTTTTCATCCCCCTAAATGTTAGGGGTAGTCCACCCCTAAATTTTTTTATTTTATTTTAAGGCAAAACAATGTTTGCCGGGACAGCTAGTATATATATATATATATATTTAGATAGATAGATAAAAAAATTATATTTGCATTAAGGGCACAATAAGGCACAGTTATCTATACATATAAATAAAATTGGAGTGTCTGTTTGTAATATTGAAATAACCGTTTTTTACTACATGCATATGAATATAAATACAGTACACCCAAATAATATTTTTACAATTTTTGTGTTTGTCTGTTCCAGCTAATCTCTGAAATGGCTGGACCGCTTTTGGCGGGACTTTTGTTGGCAGGTAGCTGATGTAATGAGGAGTAACTTAGGTTACTTTTATTTTAGAAAATACAATTAAATTCCACACAGACAGACAAAGTCGCGGGAACAGCTATAATAAAACAAAAGTAGATACACAATTACATATGTTTTGTATAAATGTAACAAGGAAATTGGATAAATTTTAGTGATTTAACACCGTCTTACTTTAGATGATAATATACAAATATTTGCATTCATGATTTATTTGCACATTTATTTACAAAAAAATATCTTTGTAAGTACTTCTATCAGTTGCCTAGTTCTCACTGCACAAGCTCTGATTAATTTGGAAGTAGACTCTGTATTAGTTGACCTTGATTATTTATTAAATACTTTAATACATATTCATTCTTATAGTATTATGCAGTGTGTTTAACAGTTAAAACAAATTTATATTGTTTAATTCTTATTTCTATAATAATTAGTCTTCATTTATCTACACTCCTTTATACTTTTAATAAAAATATTTATTTACCTATATTATATCTTTATACATTGCACATATTGAGCAGAAAGATAGTCAATCCAAAGTGTTAAGAATAATCTGATGCTCTCCACTACAAGATCACAATGTTCATTCAAATATAAACTTTGTTATCATACACATAAAGATGAAACAATATACTTGGTATAGACATATTGAACTTTAGACCACTTAAACAATTGTGACCTAGTGGATGTTATTATGCTACAAACTATTACTGTATTCAGTAATACAAAGTAACATGTATTAAAAATGTATTTTGTTTCATTATTTAATTTATATACAGTAGTTTATATTATCTGGACTAATAAAATGTATATCTACAATTAATTTGACACTTAAATTCAAATTTAGAAAAACTTAATAATAGACACCAGTATAATTAGCTTTTTTATAAGATTAAATATAGGTATAGGTGATTGTTGGTACTTAGTGGATATTTGCATGCATTTTTATAGAGAAAAACAACCAATTCTAAGGAAGATGGGTTTTGTTTAACCAATAAAAAATAACTATTCATTGACATTAACAGAATGTCAAGGCTAATAGGTAGGTATAAAATAACAAGTCTCTAGATATATAGGAATATAAAAAATAATTGTAATCTTGAGAGACTTAATTTACAAATATTAAAAAATAAAAAGTTAATGGCTTTTTTATAGGTATTCCAAAAGAGCAAAGGAATTCAAATAAAGTCACTATTACAATAACTTTTACCATCTGCAATGTCATAAAGTAAAATACTAAATACATTGTAGGTATAATTGTTTAAATTTGAAAACTGGTTTAGGTGTAACTGAATAGAATCTGTGTAGTGAATCATGATCAGACACGTAAACTAGAACATAAACATCGTTGTCAATTGGATCATCAATCTGATGAACACAGCCAAGACTTCCAAATTTAAAAGCATTCATATAAATTACTCTATGACGCAATTTTATTGATGCCGAGGGCATGAAGACGCGGGAAATATTAGAATTATAATACAACTATAGATTAATGATTTACAATACTTCTGGTTCTAAAAAAATAAGTATGAAACAAGTAGTAGGTACTTACATGACTGCAAACATTTTTGGAATACTTCTTTTGCAGTTAAAATCTCCGGTTTCCTATCCAGGGGTTGAGATAGTTCTTGTGTATACGTAAAATAGTTCCTATTCGATTTACCACTGAACAACGCGGCACCAAATCGACCAAATCGACTTGATACATGGGGTATAATAGTTTTACCCATCACAGACATTTTGTAACTATTATTTTAATTTATTACTACTAAAATTAGAACTAGCTTTTTCACTATAATTTGATGTAAATGGACAATGTTTTCTATAAAGACAATAGTGGTTCTATTTTCTAAACCCTAAACAGACTTTGAAAACAGGAAATAGACGGCCGGCGAAAATGCCGCCTGCAAACAGACACACCAAATCACAAACTAAAGAGAATGAAGAATTGAAGGAAAGAATAGAAATAAACAGATAATAATAATAATGTTATAGAAGAGTAAAACTATAATTTGCACAGTATAGCATGATTCGAATGACAGATATGAAAATCAACAAAAAAAATTAATACGAACTATAGAATTATTTCACTGTATTTGATAAGAGAAATAATTTAGTAACAATTAACTAAAAGTGTAATGAATATTCTAATTACTTTGTTTCTTTTAAATAAAAATATGGGATTAAGTATATTTTTAATAAACTAAGTGAGCTGTCCAACTATAAATACTAGAGCGCTTAAGTCGTAGCAAATAAATCCGTGTGACCTGAATTAAATTTCTGATTGTGCTAAATTCCCACATAAATTTAATTATTTAATAAACGCCATACTTACGTTTGTCAGAGTTATTACACTATCAAATTATTATATGCCATCATACAATAGTGTGTTAGTAATAATTAAGCTTAACTACGAAACAAAAAAAACGGAATAAAAGACAAATGTTATCCGGGCACATGTTTTCTTTGCTAATAAAAGTCATAAGTAAAATCTGCTTGTTAACGTTGAAATTTTTTTATTACAATGGTTTCATCACTTTCTACAAAAACATTCTAAATATGGCATTCCCTTGTTTATTCTATTGTAATTGTGCTAAAACCGCACAATTTTGCCAGATCTGGTCACCCTAATAAAAAAGGATCGAACTTGTCTGAAAGGCAAATTCCAGGACCGTAAAACTATTAAAAAAAAACTGAATACAAAATTTTATATTATCAAGAGATTATAGACAAGTCACTGAAATTACTAATAAGCAATAATTTAATCTATTAGCAGTAATTAGGACGCTTTAGTTATTATTTTTAATTAAGCAGATAGAATACTGAGCAAGAAATCATTATGTCAATAGTGTAAATTACTTTCTTTTAAATTTTATAAGACTTCGGCTGTTTACTACACGGCCTAAGAATACCATAGAGAATTATTTAAAATTATTCCTAAATTCCTTGATCTATGTTTACCATATAAAAAAATCCAGATTTTAGTGGTATAAATATTTATACAGGCGAAATAGTTCCTTTGACTTAATAAAGAGTGGTAAATATATCTATGATCATTTTTACTGCTGCGGTCCTATTACACAATTTAATACAACTTGACTTCACGTGTTCGTTAATTATCATTAACCGGTAATAGGTACTGGTCCACCAGTTACCAATGCCTAAAAAGGCATTGGTAACTGGTGGACAGCGTCAAAATATTGGAATGTCATAAATAATACCTACTATCTTGGTAAATATTTCGTTAATACAATATTTACAGTACAGTATTTAAATTGTCCTTAGTTCCACTGTCGCTTATTTGAAAATTTCTTGGCTTACAATATTTTAACTTTAGATGGCACCGAATAACTTCACGGCTGGTAACTGCGATGAGGTAGTCAGAGTATTTATAATGTTCATATGATGAACGCGACTTATTCCTTTGACATACTAAGTTTATTTTCATGTACTCGCTGGGTATATTCTAATATTCAACATTGTGATTACTATGAATAACTGAATGTACTATAATTTTAAAATTGTCTTTATATATAAACATAAATATTTAAAGGTGAATTTATTATTTTAGTTTAAATAAGTTTAGGGGTAAATTTATAATTATATGGCAATGTTTATCTTGTGATGGGTCACGTGACGGCACGTGAAGAGCCATAGACAATTCAGCCATTCGTCAGTTTTGGAGTGAGGAGGCAGTCTAAATTAGTGTTTTATTGAACGGACTGCCAAAAGTGAAAATTGAAAAATGGCAAAGACCCTCTCAGCTTCGCAGGCGAACAAGGAACATGTCCTGGCAGTATCCAGGGATTTCATTTCCCAACCGCGACTGAGTAAGTGGAAATTTTTCATCAACTATCTGCAAAACGTCACTCTCAATGAAATAAATTATTGATTTTACTTTGCTAGTTGAGTAACCAATAAGTTTATTTGGTGGAATATGTAAAATATATGTCAAAGAATTGTATTTGAGGAATTGTGTGTATGGTTTTCAATGATAAAATTCCATTTCCACTTTGACCCACCCTTTGGTTGATGGTCCATTGAAGAGTAATTAGGTATAAATGTCGATTTTATTATAATGTTTGTTACATTACTCACTTTTATTCCTATTGGGGGCAATGAGGAACCCTACATATGGTTTCTATCACTGTATCAGGTGATTTCAGAAGGTAGTTAACATAGGTCATATGACCTATCATAATTCTGATCTATCCAATTTTCTGATTAAATGTTATGAATTAATTTAATATGGTCTTGTACTTGAATATTTCCTCTCCTAATCATGAACTAATACATAAAAAATAAAAACTAATTTTTGGGAATCAAAATCTATATTTTTTTATTATGGAAATAGCTAGAATGCACAGGAATACTTGTGGTATTAGAAAATACAAAAATTTGTATGAAGTCATGTTGGTAATGTGTTAATCTGTAAATTCTTATAATGATACCATAATGTTACAAATTGTGTGATGAAAATCTATCACAAAATTTTATGCCAAGGTCAATTCTCTATTTTACATTTGTAATTATGGACTCCTAGTTGATCCATATAACTTTTAAAATATCTGCTGCATTTCAGTAAATTATTGTAACACATAAATTAATATAAATCCCTATATTCTATTTTTAAAGATAAAAACATAGAACTAGATTTTATATAACATTTACAATAAGTAAATTTAACACCTACATATACCTATTTATTTAAATACATTGGTCACATTTACACCCTGAACCATTTATTTGTCTATGGTATTTTTTTCTCTATCAGCTGACTTTGCTGTCAGCTGATTGGCATTTACTTTTGTGTGTAGGTTTTATTATAATATTGCAATTTATATTTGTAATGCATTAATAAGTAGGCATTATTTTTATAATGGTAGACATTTTAGTCTGCTTAGGTACCTGTATCTCAATTATTACAGCTTTGAGAGGTTGGTTTATAGAAGTAGCGTTTCATTTGAATGGTGAGATGAGGCAGGGGAATTACAAGGTATACAGGCATGTTTTTAGGCCTCAAGAATGGCAACACTTCAGTAATATTGGTGTCACATGATAAAGTCATGTCCATGTTGTAGTCTATGTATATTCATTACCACTTATTATTGTTACTACTTACCATTAAATGGATGGGATTGGTTCCCATTATAATTACATAAAATACCATTACACTAATTAATTTTTGTACAACACCTCAAAAATTTTAAGTTATAGAAGTCTAAATTTTTGATAGTTTTCATTCAGGCGATACTCTAGTTTTGATTTCTAATATATTCCCCATTTGCAATTAATTGAATATATGACATTCATGTTGTTTGGTAATAAAGATATTCTATATGCATCATTATTTCTATATAATGTAAATTTGCCATGATCATCATCCACTGATGCTATATGAGAATATATCATTACTGCAGGTGATGCAGTGGTAAACCTAGTCCCTAATATATATATTTATAAGTAAAAATAATGATGTCAAGTATCTTGTATTGTCATTCACAATAAAATGTCCAGACATGTGGCAGCATAGTGGGTTGGGTTGATGGGTTCCTAAAAATATAGTCTAGTGCAATGATGATGGTTGATTGTAGGGACTAATAATAAAAGCCTTTATTTACTGTTAACATTACATTACAAATTTACAGCAGTAACTGCGGTCCTGTTATATATGTGATTGTAGGGACTAGTCTGCTCTAATTACTATGTCTGATTAATTCTTATTTAATTACTGCACCAGTTCTTTGTGTATTTAATAGGTTGACTTTAATGAATTAGTGCTAGTAGGTAGTTTATATTCACAAATTTCAACTTAAAAATGTAAAGATACAACTAAATTATTTAAAAGAGTACACACAAGTTTCTTGTTCAATTTTCCTGTGATGAGAGAGCTTTCCTGATTTTCAGTAAATTTTAAAAATAAGTGACCATTTAATAATTTATTAAATGTTTTTTTCTTGTCTTCAGCTTACAAGACAGTGTCTGGTGTGAATGGACCTCTAGTCATCTTAGATGAGGTCAAATTTCCCAAGTTCTCAGAGATTGTACAATTAAAGCTCGCCGATGGCACTCTACGCTCCGGACAGGTAAATATTTCACAATTATTGTAAAAATGTATTATACATTTTATGTAAAATGACCTTTTGAATACATTTGATTAAATATTTAATAGAATTATTGAACAAAATTGAAATATAATTCTTACATAACCATATTTTATTAATGATTAAAAAAAACTATATAAATTACTAATTTCAAATTTTATTTTATAACCATGTCCAGAAATTTATTGATATTACTATGTTTTCCTTATTTATGACAATTATTTCGATTTCATCCAGAAGTCTTCTTCAGGCTGAGTAAGGCAAACTAATGAATGTGCCTTATTCATCCTGATGCACATAGTCTTAACTCATATTAGGTACATGGTTATAAAAATGTAGGGCTAATATGAGCATCAAACCATCTGTTAGAATAAATCCAGCTATGGGTACGTCATCATATTTTATTCACTACTGGCTGTTCCCGCGACTTCGTTAGCATGGAATTTAACTTTATTTTTCTAAAATAAAAGTAGCCTAAGTTACTCCTTATCACAACAGCTACCTGCCAAAAAAAGTCCCGTCAAATTCGGTCCAGCCATTTCAGAGATTAACCGGAACAAACTAACCGACAGACAGACAAAAATTGTAAAAAATGTTATTTTGGTGTATGTACCGTATTTATATTCATATGCATGTAATAAAAAAACGTTTATTTCAATATTACAAACAGACACTCCAATTTTATTTATATGTATAGATACTGGTAGCCAGGACCAATTTATTAAAATTTCATCAATGCTTTTAGAGATAATGAACAATATGAAATATGTTATATACTGTTTTAATTTTGACGCGGTCATTATTTATAAGTGTAATTAGTAAATCACGGGATTTTACCACCGTTTATTTTTATTGAGTTCCCGATATTTCGTTATTTAGTTATAGTGTATCAACCACCATGATTACGGGTAGACTCAGTTTACTACTCGTAACTCGTTGAAATAAAACGTGGTTTACTAATTATACTTATAAATATCAAAAATTATATTGATATTTGTTATTGTACTTTGCATGAAAATCACAGAAACCATTCAAAAGTATCTAGTAAAAAATTATATTGTGTAATAAATTAATATATATGTTTGGGAAACTACTCTGCTACCGAAATGTTAAGTCATTTAATATATATATGTGTGAACAGTTTCACAGTAGATTTCACACAGTTCTAATTTATTTCAATTCACAACAAATGCGCGCGCGCGTCAAGGCCGCTGTACGGTCCGTTTGGTAGGTAAGGGAGGGGAGGCAAAGGCGCGGGAACAGAAAACTAACGGACTCTAATATAATAATCTGTGCTTACGATGGTATAGGGTAGATTTTGAACAATATATATGTGTATACTGTTACGATATCGATTTCGATACTCTGATATGGTGTTGTAATACTGCAAAAAATAAATAAAAAATAATAAATCTATTCTATATAATTCTACATTTAATTAGGTACTGGAAGTCAGCGGTTCCAAGGCCGTCGTCCAGGTCTTCGAGGGAACATCGGGTATTGACGCCAAGAACACTCTTTGCGAGTTCACGGGCGACATTTTGCGTACACCCGTGTCTGAGGACATGTTGGGTACGTACCTTAGTTTTATTATGATGAGAGTAGCAATAGGTAGTGTGTGATTTATGTGATAGGAGTTTAGGACTATTTTAGGGAGCAATAGTTTTTACCTCCTCAGGATAGAGTGTGTATTACCATGTATTTTCTATAGGAGGTATTTCGTTTCTGCATCAGTAGATACAATAGGTAGGTAAAGTTTTTAGTATTTAATTATGTCAAAATTAACTTCACTGTACGGGCCAGTATTGTAGCTATCTGTAAATTAAAAATAAACTGTATTTGTAACATTTTTTCTTTTTATTTGTTTATATATATATTAAAATATAATTTATACATTTGAGTTCATAAATATAATTTTCTGTGCCTATAACTTCCTCTTCTTGTGCATAAATATACGAGATATATTGAAGAATCCAGATTCTTCATTATTTCACTAAGTTACCAACATCTATTCCAAATGTTTGAAATACTTCTTTCTACACACATATATCAATTAAGGACTGAACTTATATGGTATCTTACAACTACCATAAACAACTTTTTTTTTATAATATATATAGGTCGCGTATTCAACGGATCCGGCAAACCCATCGACAAAGGCCCCCCAATCTTGGCGGAGGACTTCTTGGACATCCAGGGCCAGCCCATCAACCCCTGGTCCCGTATCTACCCCGAGGAAATGATTCAGACCGGTTTGTACTTTTTTATTTTACTAAGGTATCCTATACGGTAACCCGCTTAACGCTGTTTCGGTTTGCCGCTATGATTAATATTACAAAATATACATCTATGAGTTTCGACATATCACATAGGCACACCGCCTTGGTGTGTTCGATGGTCGTGGGTTCGATTCCTCGCACGCTTAATACACTTGTATTCATGAGTATGATTATCTGTATCAGTTTAGGTGTTTTTTTTTATGTATTTACAAAAGTAGTAATATATGTATTTATATCAGTTGTCTAGTACATAACACAAGCTCTGCTTAGTGACTAGATGGCGATGTGTGAAATGTCGCAAAATTGTTATTCCTAAAATAGTGAGTGTAAAAAATTGATTAATGTAATTTTGCTTACGAAAACAAAACAGGGTATTTTGTAATTTTGTTGATTTGCAGGTATTTCGGCTATTGATGTCATGAACTCCATCGCCCGTGGGCAGAAGATTCCCATTTTCTCAGCCGCCGGTCTGCCCCACAACGAGATCGCCGCCCAGATCTGTAGACAAGCCGGTTTGGTCAAGGTATATTGATTTTAGCTCTCTATTCGTTATTTAGTAATCTGTCTTCCAGATCTGAATCCTACAGGCGTGATTTACAACTTTAAAATATTCAAATAAACAAAAGTTTACTCTAAAAAATTATAAGTCATCTTTCTACACTCTCGCCATTTCCCTTCCAATCGATCACCCGTCCAGTGCAAACGGATATGAAATTACGACGGCCTGAGCCGAGGTTCGAACTTCTTAGCGGTGCCCTCAGACTCAAGTTGTATCCGTCAGGCAGGAGTTGGTCTTCAGCCGCTCCATAAGTCCTTTTGCGGGTTTAGAGTGCCATCTGCACTCGCTGTCTGTCGTCCGGTGAAGCTGTAAAGACTAGCTGTGGTCAACACTCACACACACTCTAATGCTAGAGTGATCCAAAAAATTCTCGCCATATTTTTTAACACCTATACCTGCGCACGATGAGGCGAGCGAAACATTAGTTCCCTGTATTTGATTGTTTCTATAAAACCTTCTTAAAACTCTAAGATAAAATACTACTATCAGTTCTTCTTCAACATTGAAAAATATATTATTTTTATTTCAGCTGCCAGGCAAATCAGTCCTCGATGATCATGAGGATAACTTCGCCATAGTGTTCGCCGCTATGGGTGTCAACATGGAGACCGCTCGGTTCTTCAAGCAGGACTTCGAAGAGAACGGCTCTATGGAGAACGTGTGCCTCTTCTTGAACTTGGCCAATGATCCCACCATCGAGAGAATCATCACACCACGTCTGGCGCTGACTGCCGCCGAGTTCTTGGCTTACCAGTGTGAGGTAAGTTCTCCAAAGTTTAATACGGTCAGACTTGGTTTTTTTAATGATTTAGAATATTTTTAATGTTATTAATATTATAAACGCCACTGTTTGTCAATATGGATGGATGTTTGTTACTATCAAAACAAAAACTATAGAATGGATTTTAATGAAATTTATACAGAAACTAGTTGGTATTGATAGAAAATATCGACTACTCATGCAAATTCAAAACGGTACCTGTATCACACTAATCAGAGCTGCTACAAAAAAACTAGATTATATAGGTAGATTCGAAATCAGCGCACCCAAATTTATACACATCAGTAGAAAAACCTCATGCAACAAACAGCATGTTGTTCTGTGTTATATATATATTTATATTTGTATACTTGCACAAATATTGCGACTATCAGTTGTAAGGCCGTGTGCTAAACCACTATACCACCGAGGCAGTCCCTTGATTGATATTCTAGTAAAGATTTACTCATTAATGATATATATTGTGACCGTAGAAACACGTGCTGGTCATCTTGACTGACATGTCCTCGTACGCTGAGGCTCTTCGTGAGGTGTCGGCTGCCCGTGAGGAGGTGCCCGGACGACGTGGTTTCCCAGGTACGTTTTTTTGTGTAACCGTTTGTGTGCCATGGGTTTTTACTCAGGCACACCTAAAAATGCCAAGAAAAATAGCCTATCCTTTAAAAAATCTCTTAAAAAATTGTCCAATTCTAATCATATGAGGATATGAAATACGAATGTTTGTGATTATGGATGGATGTTTGTTATTCTTTCATGCAAAAACTACTGAACAGATTTTGATGAAACTTTACAGCAATATAGATATAGCATATATATCAGAATAACATATCTATAATTTAAAAATATATTATCTATATTGCCCGAAATATAATTATATATGTCAAGTAAATGTTATGCAGACGGAGTTGCGCGGGTTAGCTAGTACCTACATAATATAAAAATATTCAGTTTTTATATAGTAGTATATGTTTCACAGGTTACATGTACACGGATTTGGCTACAATTTACGAGCGTGCTGGACGTGTAGAAGGCAGGAACGGATCCATCACCCAGATCCCAATTCTGACTATGCCTAACGACGACATCACCCATCCTATTCCTGACTTGACAGGTTACATCACCGAGGGACAGGTGAGAACGTGCTCTTGATAAGAATCATTAATAATATTATAATAAAATAAACGCGAAACTTTGTAAGTATGGATGTTTGTTACTCTTTCACGCTAAAACTACTAAAATTGTGTGTGTGTTTTGTTGTTCTTGTTAATTAATGTTGTAACAAATGTTTTCCAACAAAAAAAAGTATGCAGTTTAATTTATAAAGAATTAAGACTGCCTGGTTTTGAATTGTTAGTAAATGTTACTAAAATTACAAACGCGAAAGTCTATACTTAATAGATTTATAGATAGTTGGATATTTATTACTACTTCACGCAAAAACTACTGAACGATTTGGATTAATATGATGTATGTTTAAAGATAAATTCACCACATTCACTTACAATGTTAAGAATTTATCCTGTATATGATTTATAATTGTATTTGTAAATTGTTAATTAATTTTTCCAGTGTCCCAATGTCCAGATGAGGAATAAAATCAGAATGTATGTTTACCTAATGTGATATTTGATTTGCCCTTAGATCTACGTGGACCGTCAATTGCACAACAGACAGATTTACCCACCAGTGAACGTGCTGCCGTCTCTCTCCCGTCTGATGAAGTCCGCTATCGGCGAGGGCATGACCCGTAAGGATCACTCCGACGTCTCCAACCAGCTGGTGAGTCAGACGACTGAAGAATATTGTTTTATATACTGCTTTAAAGACTTTGGTACTTCTAATACATGGTAAGAAGTTTTTTGACGTTCCTCAACCTTACATGATACAGTACAACTGTTTTGGCTGTTTTTGAATATACTGTGAATGTAGTTTGCCGAGATTAGTATCAAGGGAGTTTCAATAGTAGCAATAAACGAAGACGTGTAAAGGTAGACGAATGTGTCTGCCCGTAACAGATTTTATTTACCATCTGCCCGCTGCTCTTCAGTTTACGTAATCATGGCGGTCGAAACAATGCCAAAATATCGGGAACTCGATAGAATAAGTAAATAGAATAAAATGCGGTGGGATCTCGTGATTTTTCATAATTGTACATATTTTTTTTGCTTATAACGAACTGCTGCACAGACATACCTCTGTTTCACTCGCCGGTAATAGCATAATGATCGCATGACGCCAGCAGTGTGCGCAACAGACGACATAATGCTTCCTTCTCTTTCCCACTAGATCGCGTACTAGCCAAGTTTAAAGTTAAGTTAGTAAATGGCAATTTACCACAATGGTTTCCAGGGGTAACTTCATGGTGGTCAAGCTGACATGTGACTACCATACATTGCTAGCAATGGGGTTATTAGTCCCTATATTAATAATCACCTTCCCCCTGTCTATGATGTTGGAGATATTGTAAAGTGGTATTATATAATGCATGTTATATCTTACAGTACGCGTGTTACGCCATCGGTAAGGACGTGCAGGCCATGAAGGCCGTCGTCGGTGAGGAGGCGCTCACCCCCGACGATTTACTCTACCTCGAGTTCCTCACCAAATTCGAGAAGAACTTCATCACGCAGGTGCGGTATTATTATCATTCGTTTTCATTTCGTTTAAAAACTAAAAGCTGACTAGAAAAATACTACATATCATATCTGGAAAGAAATTTATTGTAATCTCTGATAAGTTGTTCAGAAGGAACTAAATAACATAATATAAGTCAAAAACTTATCTCCCTTTTTTGCTTCTTCGATGAAATTTCTGTATTACTTTTTTTATTTTATTTTATAGCTGTATTCAAAAAATTATGTAGACTGGGAATTTATGAGAAATACATAAAACAAAATTTTGTATATGTGTCATGAAAACTCAGGAACCTTTGTTATTGTTTTTTAGTAGATTATATCAAAAATATAATATGCATTTTTGTTCAGGGTAACTACGAAAACCGCACAGTGTTCGAATCTTTGGACATCGGCTGGCAGTTGCTGCGTATCTTCCCCAAGGAGATGCTTAAACGTATCCCCGCCTCCACCCTCGCGGAGTTCTATCCCAGGGACTCCCGCCATTAAGTCCTTCCATCAACTCAAACGGCTTCCTGCCAACTCTCTCGCTCACCACACCTCTGAACGAGCGAGACAGAGCAAGCTCGTTGGCCGTTCTCGGTAACACCAGGCTTCTAAGTGGTTTCATATCCTAATCGTAAACACCATAAATTATTAACAGCAGTTTTTTTTATTTTAAAATTGATATTAATCTTATTTATTAGCTGTTCAAAAAGAAGTGCTCTATGGTCATAATTTTTGTGATTGCATTTTTTTTAAACCATTAGGATTTGGAACCACATTACGTTGTAAGATAAAAATATTGTTTATTATAATATAGTAAGTTGTTAATAGTTTATTAATGTGTATTAACTGTATTACGATCAAGTTACAAAATTATAAACAATCGTGTTGCTATATTGTCTATGCTAAGGAATAGATATCGTAATCACTTACATAATGTTGCCGTCTCGTGTATATAATTTCCGAATAAAATAGTGTTAGTTTGAATGGTAAATTATTATGAATTAACGAATAGATGCCATTTTCTGTTTGGTGCTTCAGACACGTTGAAATTGTTATTCACTGCACAAATTGTTGAGATGTGTTCAATCATATTTAACCAGATTTTGAGAAATTATGTGATATTATATTTTTGCTTTTACATCATTATTTGAATTCTATTTATAATGTAAATAAATCAATAGATACATAGACCAGTAACAGTGTGTTACATTCCAAATTACTTTCCTCGTTCACTTCAAAGCTAAATATTTAATTCAATAACTAAGTGAATTAGGATACTGTTGTTTTCAATGGAAATAAAGTATAGAAATTGATATTTAGATTTTCTTTGCTTTTCCCGCCTTATTGGGTCCAACTGGCCTGGAGTACTTACTGAAGTAATTGAACTCCATGATCAATACGGATTGCAATTATTGGTAGTCATTGAATTGATGGTAATAAAATAATGCTGCATAATGCATAAGATAGGCATGATTTTTTCCGACTACTCTTATGCTGCTGGCCTATACCGCTTCACTGGATCATAGGGGGCCGAGTGCAGATGGCACTTCAAACCCGCGGAAGGGCTTATGAAGCGGCCGAAGAAATAGTATAAAACAAAGTCGCTGTCGCTGTCTGTCACTTTGTATACTTAAATCTTTAAAAGTACGCAACGGATTTTGAAGCGGTTTTTTAAAGTGATTCAAGAGGAAGCTTTATATATATAAGAATACATGTACACTCGTGCGAAGCCGGGGCGAGTGGCTAGTGTTTAGATATTTCAACCGAGGTACATAGTAAATCATACATTTTAGTCCGAAAATGACAACACATGTAATGCACTTGCGTTACAAGATTACTTGGGTCCTGTGTATAAATGTAGACTACGGACTACTACCGTCTTCACTTACCGTCAGCTTCTTTATTCCAAATAGATAAAAAAAAAAAGTTTTCTACACCTACCATAGAGCATATCTGAATAGGTGTATCGCCTCAGTGGGGATCCCCTTTTTTGTGTTTAACTTGCAATTTGTCGAATATGAAAAGATGTAGAAGTTGCGTTGCGTAGTGTGATTCTCACCAGAAATATCGTCTTTTTTTATGTTCAGTACATACATTAGGATGATTTCCTAGTCGAGTCTATTGTTTTTATTGATGATATTGGAATAGTACACCCGTCTGCGCTAGCGGGGCACCAGTAGAGGATTAAACGATGAATATGAGGTCAGGTTTGTTTTTTACCCAATATGACAAATTCGCCAGGAATTTATCATGATGATTTCCAGGGGAACCGCATGGAGGTGCACCTAAAACGGCACGTTCCTAGCAATGGGGTCATCAGTCCACATTACTAACAATCCCCTTTCCCCCCCCAGTTTTTAGTATCTGGAACAGCAATGTTTTATCTAACTTGTTAGATAAAACCTCATGAGATTGATGACCCACTCCGGGGAAGCCAGGCGGGTACTGTGAGACTCACTAAAACTAAGATTTATTTCGTCCAGCGCTATTTACCATAGCCGCTACCAGTTTGCCCATTTATGCGCTTAGTGCTTGCGATTCATGTGACCCCATGTCTGATCAACATAAACCAAAATGTTGAACGAATGAAGCTAAATAATATTTTTATAATAATGGGAGCTGTAACAAAAAGGGCCGTAATTACTTAAAAAGAGACAATATTAATGTTTATTTTAATTTATTTCTATTACATACGTGCAAATTATTGTAAGAGTCTTAGATATGCGGGCGTAACAAATAAATGTCAACAGTTCCACAAGGAAAGAATATATTTTTAAATTACATGGATATACTTATAATAAATACTAAAATATTAACATTTATGCACGAAATAAGAAGTTATTTACTGAACAATCACCATATATGTTTTATATATAGGTTAGGTTTAGCTTGTTTTATTAAATTATATTTTGCAGTGGCACATTTATCTAGATGTCCCTATACACTGAATAAATTTGTCTTAAGACTAATAAGTCAATACTGTAATAGTTACTTTTAGATTTTATATTGGGCTGGTTTTGGTGTCATAAAGCGACTAACATGACCTATTGACCTATATTATCAGTAGACCTATGTTACAGTACATTTTGTAACGAGAAACCTTAATTATAACTCCCAATTTTCTCCAAAATATGACAATTATGTTTTATATACATGTATAAATTGTGTTGTATATATGAAACATGTATACAACTTGATATTTATAATGAATTTATATTTTGTATGTATTAAACACATGGCTGAAAATGCGGTTTGAGGAATATAAAAGTAACCATACAAGTTTTACAAATGCTGACGATTTAAGATTTCACTATAAATTTGTGACTTAGCCCGCGATACCAGCGATCGCTTCGGACGCAAAGTACTTCACATCTACATCGGGGTCCACGTTCAATTTCTCCAGGACCGGCTTCACTTGTGGCTGGATAACAGCCGTGTCTAAGAATGGCGCCATTTTCTGCAGTGTTTTGGCAACATTGAATCTAACGTTGGCAACATTGTCGTCGGCCATAGACAATACTGTGGGTAGCAATACACGCGTCGTTACATCCTTGCCGCACACTTCGGAGAGGACATTAATGCAAAACAGGTACGTCATACGGTGCAAATAGTTTTGTTCGCGCGACATGGCCAGGACTTTTGGAATGACGTTTGTCTCCGCCCATTGGGAGCCGTACTGTTCGACCAACTTCTTCAGATTGAGAGTGGCGGCTTCACGGATCGCGTATACGTGGTCTATTAGCCAGGACATGCACAGTCCTGTTAGTTTCTCGTCAAAGAACTCCTGTCCGAGCTGGCCGGCTAGTAGCGGCATATGCTCGATAATGGCCAGTCTCACACGCCATTTTGTGTCTTCAGCTAATTCCACAATTGCTGGCAAGAGGGACTGTACCAATTGCTGGATACCGATTACTTCGTTGACGCATTCCAAGTTTGATATTATATTCAGTCGTACCTCAGGACACTCATCTTTGAGCTGGGTGAGGAACAGTGGTAGGAGATGTTCGATGGTGTTCTGTCTACCCACGATAGGGCTGAGTCCCATAATAACGGAGGCTAGGGCAGACTTGACGTGCTGGTTTGGGTCGCATACTAAGTCCTTTATCTGAGGTAGGATCATTGTCATAATGATGTGTTCCTGGTGTGCCTTATCTAGGTTCTTGCAGAAGTCTTTTACCTGTGTTTATAAAGTAAAGCAATTTTAAAGTAGAAGAATAAAATAATTTATGTATGAATTTAGAATGATGCAGAATATAGGATGTGCTAACGTTGTGTGTTGGCAATCACCAGTCAAGGATTATAATGTGGTGAATATACCACATTTTTTTTTCAGGTATACCTAGTGGATTTATAATTAGCAATAAAAAACCTACAAGTCCTCTTAGTAAGAATTCACTGCTCCTAATTTAATTAAACTGTGCGAAACATAATACGGACCTTGCCGGCAGCGGCCGCACGCACTTCCGCCTCTGTATCCTTGAGCAGAGCTTGGAAGATCTGGGCCAGGTCGGAACGCGTCAGCTCAGGTCCCACAGCTTGCTGCAGCTCTACAAACCTATAATACAAACACTTTAATAAGGATAACTTTCATTTCGGAATGCTTGAGTTACATTTTATCTATGACTGATCACTAGCCTATATGCCTGTACAATGGAAGTCAAGGGAAGTTATCAGTACCGTGATCAGAGATGATAATAATTTTGAGTTTATATAATAGTAATATTGATTGTTTCACATCATAGCTTCTTTCAAGCATGTTTCACACAAGTATCTTACTCATTGTTCTTGTGATGACACAGCTTTACGAATAAGCGGTAGATTTCTATTCTATTCAAGAAATTTTATAGTACAGCCATAGAATCTTTATTCATATAAACATAATGTTAGCATTATTTAATAGTCACTATAACAATGCAAATTTATTTGTGAAGAATTTTCAAGAAACTTCATTAGAAACTTACAATCTAACATATTATAATACGCCAGTTATTGCCATTAGTAATTACTTAAATACTATTTAATTAACTAATATTGTGATACATACTTATCAACAACCATGAATCTGACTCTCCACGAGTTGTCACCAGCACTGGCCCGGACTGTAGGCATCACTAGCTGCTCCATATCCTCGGGTGGGAGCAGAGCGGCCACAGCGGAACAGGCCTCTGCAGCTAGCAATCGCACCGAGTCTTGTTCATCCTGGAAATTTATTTATTGTTTAAAATAATCTTGTTCTCAACCTTTTCTTTGAAGTGGCACACTTTTAATAGCATCTGCAACACTAGGTCAATTGCAAGTGTGTTACCGTGTTTTAAGAAGGAATAAGTTCTTTTCTTGAAGGTTTCAATATTGTATCGGTTCAGAAGTACTATAGCTAGAAAGTGTAAATAATATGTGCTCACTGGGGGGGGGGATTGTTAGTAATGTGGACTAATGATTCTATTGCTAGCAATGAACCATTGTCAGGTTGACCTCCATGCGGTTCCCCTTGGACACCATCATGTTAAATTCTTGGTGAATTTGCCACGATGGGCTAACTGACCTGACCACTTATTTCATTCTTTTTTAGTTCATCTTTATCATCCTCCGCTGGTGTCTCGCCAGCGAATACCGTTAGCACAGGAGTACCATTCCATTATAATACATAAAAAAATGTGCTCACCTGTGCCAAAGTAACGAACATAGGAATGAGGTCGCTTTTCACGTATTCGACTTCAACGACGCGAGCGAATTCACCTAGCTTGTAGGCGGCCGCGCGGCGAACCATGGGCGTGTCATCCTGGCACAGCGAGCAGAAATGCTGACGCAGTTCCGCCTTTACGGGAGCAGATACACGCGGATAGCATACACTGTACAAAGAATATTAAAGTGAGATAAAATCTTTATTTGTACACAATACAAGGCACAGTAATATAAAAAAAAAAGTAAATACACAAGTACATACGCAAGGACGCTTGTAACAAGACAACCGCATCTAACCAGTCCTATTACACTATCATTAATAGCTATAATAATAATAAGTAGTGACTATACTGAATCATGTTTTTAATATGTATGCTTGTATTGCCGCATAACATAGAATGATTATATTAAGTACCCTAAATATTTGACTTTTTTTAATTTAAAGGTTGAGGTTCATAAGAAAAGACACGATTATTGTAATACAACAGTTGTCATAATATAATCACCCCAGACCATTCACACAGCGCTATCTAGGTTTAAGCTAAGCATAGCTTGCATTAAGGTTGGACATCTGATATAAATACTTAGACACATTTTTTTTTGTAAATAAATACACAAGATATATAGAAGAAGAATATCACCTGAAGAGTCCACAAGCGGATGCGCGTGAAGTGAACCAGTCGCCGCCAGCGAGCCGCTGTACTAGTGGCACGAAGTGTTGCTCCAGGGCCTGAGGGGTGTGATGTGCAGCCACCGCCCTCAAGGAGGTCACCGCTTTGTCTCGCACCACCGTCTCCTCGACGGTCGCCAGTGACTCGAGCGGCGGGAGGAGGCAGTGCGCGAATTCACCACCACCAACGAGGCTGATGAAGTTGCCTGAAATATATAGTTCTTTGGTTATGAACATATCAATGTGGGTTGAACAATTATTGGCAACATTATAATATATATACATACACTTCTAGAGTTATAATTGTAAAGTATAAAATATTAACCAAATTTGTTTCTACAATAGAAAGACTAAAACTACTTAGTGTTTCAGATATACTTTCTGTTTCCACTGTGTTCCTCTAATTTGTGATGGTCATAAGAATAACTACCAACTGCCACAGAAGAAAGTAGAACTATGAGCACACAATGGCCCAGATGGTAAGGCTAAATATGGAGAATGGATCAATTTACAATTACAAACTGGGAGTGATTGATAGTTGTGCATTAAAGTCATAATATTATAGAGAGTCCTCAAAAGAACCAATAAGATATCATTCCAGCATATTCTATGTGGTATAATAGTCAAGTGAATGCCTGTAAGGCTTAAAAATATTATAATTAATCTAAAAGAAAAAAGATATGTCATATTTTTTTAAACTATGACTGAAATGACGAAGGAATGATCCATCTGCCTGCACTAACGGTTTATGCTGGCCAGGCACCAGTGAAGGATAAGATGAGCCTGAGGTCCGGTTAGTTAGCCCATCATAGCAAATTCACCAGAATTTAACATAATAGTTTCCAGGGGAACCGCATGGAGCTCTACCTGACATGGTACATTGCTAGTTATAAGTTACATCACTTGTTTAGATCATACTTCTTGCCTGATATCAGGTAAACTATGACTAAGTGTGAATTATACTAGTAGTATAAGAGTGGATTAAGAATTTTATTAATCTTATTATGTATCAATCTGAGTCATATGTTTATAGTTACAAAATATTAATAAATCATTAAGAATACATTGCTCTTTATAACTGTTATATAAAATTTGTTATTCATAGTGTCTAAATAACTTCAAATAAACTACTTTCAATGAATATGTTAATATGATTACATTTTACATATTATATCTACATTCAATCTTAATATATCTATAACAATTTTACATTAACATGGAGGCCAATGTTTTAGCACACTACAGTGCATCCGATGGTTGTGGGTTCAATTCCTTGGACAGTACAAACATTGTATTCATGAGTAAAATTGTATTGATCTGGATGTTAGCCTATTCATATAATATTCTCTGCTTACCTTGGGACTAGTGGATGTTGTGTGAACTGGGGTTATAACTATGGTTATTAAACTGTATTTCTTTATTTAAGACTAAATAGACTTCGTAATGTCATAACTTTGATGAATTACTTGGTAAATTATCGTGATATATAAGGAAAGATGATTTGAATTGTTTAAGAGCTGGGTCACTATATTATAGGTAGTACAAAACGTGTTTAATCAGATAAAGTTGTAGGTATATATTATTATATACAAATAAACTGCAAAGGTTTGTGCAAAATATTGCATCAACAAAGTCATATACATGAATACTACAAACAATGCATGATAAGTGTTGATATCTATGTATTTTGTAGAACTTACCAAGTTGCTCCGCGAGCGCCAGTAGCACTTCATCTTCATCGTAAATGGTCTCCGTCAGGAAAGGGATCAGTTCGGATCTGGTTCTCTCCACACCGAGGGCTAAAGCAATCGTAGATAGCTTCTTGATGGAATTCAATCTTAGTTGGACATCTTCATTTTTTAATTCGTCAATCAGAACCGCAATCGGGTATAATGACTCATCTGTACTGGAATCGCTTGCTGCCATCTTTGTATTAAATTGCTGCTTTCACTTCTGTTCACTTTTTTACCACAATTTTATTGTAAAACGCAAATATTTACGTGTAAAATTTGAGATCTAAATGTGTTAAGAAAGAAATTGAAAGCAAAATGGCAGCTCAAAAACACCGAGTGAATGAAGGAATTATGTTATTTATTTTGTCTATGATTATCAGCGGTGTTGCCAGTTTACTCTGTTTGTTTTCTCCCAAAATTAAAGAAAATGTACCTAAGAAAAGTTTTATTAATACTATTTTGTAACAAATATACCAATAAACAAATATATATACATAATAAATATAGAAACAGTTTTTTTTGGTGTCCTTTTTCATGTTATTTTTAATCGTCATTTTTGTTTTGTTTTACAAATCAAGTTCTTTCTGCTCACATATATCCTCCAAAATATTTGTTTTAGAAAAAAACTACAAGTTTGGGAGATTTTTCCCAATCTGGCATCATTGTTGAGCCGTCTGGTCCAATCACAGCTCTTTGTTAGTTATTTTTTATTTCGTTTTTAGGACTCCGAGTAATAGTGCTGTTAAAAATGTCTCTTTTTAATCAATGTTTTTTGTATGATATTGATTTCATTGATTTACATTTTTTTTAAATGGGTGCTAATGGTATGCAGTACTCTCCTTCGCTAACGGTAAACGCTGGCTGGGCACCAGTGGAAAATGATAAGAATGAGTATGAAGTTAGGTCAGTTAGTTCGTCGTGGCAAATTCACCAAGAATTTACTACGATGGTTTCCAGGGGAACCGCGTGGAGGTCAACCTAACATAATACATTGCTAGCAATGGGGTTACCAGTCCTCATTACTAACAATCCCCTTCCCCCTGATTGGTTTTTAGTTAGTGATATCACAATATCGATTAATACTATTGATTAGTATGAAAAAAAAGCATTCCCAAATTTGGGTTAGACAAGTTAAACTTAGTATAATAAATTAAAAACTTTTTTTAATACGTTTAAAAAATAATCGTTCTGACGTGACTGCTAATTTATAGTTACAGAATATGTTTATATTTTTGGCATAATTTTTTAAAAAGCTGTTATGTTTTTATGATTAAAATTTTTCCTGGAATTGTGATATGGGTCAAAATGACGACAACCTTCATGCGTCTGTGGCACATATTGTTTTGTGTTGCGTGGCCGGTAGAGGAATTAGCCGTATGCATGGGAAGAGCTTCACGGATCCCGGCATGCATGCAAACTTCTTCATACACGGAGTTTTAGGATTCCTTCATTATCAAAGTTAGATTTAGTTAGAGTTTTTTTTTCGGACTATAAGCTAACAGCTGGCCTTTAGAGCTTCTCCAGATGATGGGGAGTGAGTGTAGATAGTACTTCAATCCCGCGGAAGGACTTATGGAGCGGCTAAAGACAAACCCTTACAGAATCGGACGTGCAGAAATCTCTTCAGATTAAATACAATATAACAACATGATAATTAGCAGGTAACATGAATCACTATCGATGGTGTGTCAAATCATGTACTCTTTATATCTAACGTTATGAATGTGTAGAATCCACTGAGACTTAACCTATCTAGAAATGTTCGTTTCTTTAGTTATCTAATTTAAGACTTGTATTGAAGTCTTGTTTCATGAATATGAAAGTAGGTCATTTATACCATTATTATTATAGAGTAATTTCTTCTTTTTATAATTTCTTTTCTTTTCTTTTAATGTCTCTTGTTTAACAGGTGGAAGATTCAACAATGATTTTAATGCAGCCTACATACTGAGTTACAAAGCTACCCGCTACTTAGCTCTACCGTGTCTTATGGCTGATCTGTACAGAGGGAATCAAAGTTTAAGCACGATCCATCTTGTTTCTGGTCTAATTCCCTTCACTATGGCTTTGGCGGGAGAAGAAAATGTACAATTGGGGAATTTGGCGATTGCTTGCAATATTATGTCTCTATGTCATTACTCTATGCAAAATAACAGAGAATGGGGCTGGTACACGGCCGGGGCAGCTCTTTTCGCTTATTTTTTGACACCTCAGATGGGAGGACCTAAAGTTTTGTATCCATTAGGGTTGGCTCTGATGGAATACTGTGCGTATAGATTATTTCATATACATTACGGTACGACAACGCAATGAGGCATTAAAATTTATTAAATTGGTATGTTTTGTTTTTTTTTGCTATATTTTTTGTTTTTCCTATGCTTGCATGAAAACACATGACGCCATTCTTTTGAGAATATTATATATGTTTATTCCCCTGGAAATCATGATGTTAAAAGCCTGGTGAATTTGCCATTATGGTCTAACTGATCTGACCTCACTCATCTTATGAGCCCGCTAGCGTATATCGTTAACGCATGCCACCCGCATGTATATATATGTATATTGTATGTATATATATGTATATGTATATTTAAATATGATAATGGTGCACTCGTAACAGTTTGTATGGATAGCTGTTTGTTACTCTTTCACGCAAAAACTACTGAACGGATTTTGATGAAACTTTACAGTAATATAGCTCATACATTAGAATAATATATAAGCTATGAATTTGACGCCAGTGAAACCGCGGGCACAGCTAGTAGTTAATATAAGCAAAGAATATAACGTGTAACTAACGAACCAGTACCATTGAGAGTGGTTGCCTAATGTACTCGGCGGGCGCCCGCCCCCGTAGAGACAATGACGTTATGGCGATTTGAAAACCTCACTCGTTTCGTAGATGGATTTATTGCTTCAATATATGGGACTAGTGACCTCACTCGGCTCGGTTTGGTTTCGCTTTCATAACTGACACGTACCTAATACCTACATTTTTTTAATAACCTTGGACAATTAATACAGATCATCTAGTCCCACGGTAAGCAGAGCTTGTGTGATGGGTACTAGACAACTGATATAAATATTTAGATTTTTTATTGTAAATGTATACATAATATACATAGGAACACTTAGACCGATATAAACAATCATATTCATGAATACAAATGTTTGAACCGTGTGAGGAATCGAACCCGCGATCATCGGAAGTAAAGCGGTGTGCTAAACCGCTGGATCACAGAGGCCGTGAATTATTTTGTTGCATCAATAATACTTATTAATATATATGTATAATAAAACTATTTCAAATTAAATAATACTTATATTCCACGCAGATCAAGTCGTGTGCTAGTATATATATGATTATATTAATATAGGAAGGAAAAAGCCATCTTTAAGAAAATTTCGCGGACGGACACGTATGAAATTTCATGCTTATAGTTTATATGGAGAAGAAAGGCAGAATGCTAATATATTTGTTTAATTATACATATAATATACATTAAAAATGAAAAGCAAATCATTATACAAATTACCCTGTATTTGACAGACACACTCATAGATACATATTCTTTTCTTTAATGTCTGTGCGACTGCCAGTGCCAGGTCGTATTATGCCCTTTTTTAAAAAAATTATCTACGCTACGGACGGATATGAAATTTCGCGCATGTATAGTTTATATAGAGAAGAAATGCTAAAACAATGCTAATAGTTTTTGAAAATTATACATATAATATACATTAAAAATGAAAAGCAAATCATTATACACACTACCCTGTATTTGACATACACACGCATATATATTCTTTTGTTTATTGTTTGTACGACTGCTAGACGTATAGTCTAGACAATTTTCAATCTTATAATTAAAACTAATTAAGGTCGAATTTCGACCACCAGGTGACTACTAGTATGCGATTATTATTTTCTAAATAAATACTACTTACAAACATAGATATGCTTACGGCTGTAGGCATGGATATTTGTAACAATATTTCATAAATTTCGATTTAAAAACGTAGTTAATCATCTGCTTCTTCCTTATCACATTTATTTGTGGTCGCGTAATATGTTTGTCTCTTCCATTCATCTCTGTTCGCAGTCATCGCGTTATTTACTTCCTCTTTTACCATATCATCTTTCACACAGTCCATCCATCTCTTTTTCCATCCACATTCATATAACACCTTATTTAAAAACGTAGTTAAAATTCTTATTTCAAAGAGCAACACGCAAGTTTCTTGCTCATTCTTCTTGTGATGATGCAGCTTTCCGAATGAGCGGTAGATTAAAAGAAGGATGATTCTGACTATTCAAAAGTGCTTAAATTAAGTTTATTTGAATAAAGAATTTTCTATTCTATTTTATTAATCATTTTCAGGGAATATTCATGCCTATACGCGTATCTGGTTATTTGTAACTGTTGAACAGTCTTATATTTGACCAACATTCTAAAACACCCTATCTTAGTATCAAAGAAGTTATCTAATCTAATACAAAAACCATTATCGTTAATTGTTAAAGTGACGCTCGAGATTGAACAAAGGAATGTATCATGCTATCTATGTCCACACCTGACGTCTCTCAGACGCTATTTGCTGGCACCACAGAAGTAAATTCACATGGAATTAGTGAAATTTGTCTGACTTCCATACCAAAATTACTGAACTAATTTTATTGTAATTTGTACACAGACAGTCTAGACTCTGAGAAAGGACGTAGGCTACTGAAAATGAAATATAGAAATATGAAAAAAGTTGTAAGGGATAGAAAGGGGAGACGAAAGTTTCTATGGAAATATTGTAATATATAAAGGTAGAAACTAGAACCATATTGTTTTGAAGAATTGTAACTTTTTTCTTTGCATTTTTTGGGTTAGATATCTTTATATGCGCGAAGTCGCGGTCACAGCTGGTATAAAATATAACACAATGCTTAATTACAATCAAATACAGGTCTATATTATTTTTAAAAACATACAAATACAATAAGTTGAACTCCCCATATTGAATACACATTGAACTCCGCACTAAGCGAGGACTCGCGGGAGTCCACAAAAGAATTGCTACATGATTAATAATTATTACAGATCAGCGAGTAGAATAGATTTGACATCATAAAAGCCTGCAATAGACCCAGACGAATGAAAATGTTTAAGTTTAATTCTATCCTTACTAATATTATATATGTGAAAGTAGGGATTTTTGTTACGCTTTCACGCAAAAACTACTGATCCGATCATCATGAAATTTTGTACACATATTCTTCAAGGTATTAGAATGAACATAGGATTTACTTTTTGTTTAAAAAATAAAGCATTTCTATTGTAATGATCTCCGATTCTTATTATTGGATTCAATGCGAGCGAAGTCGCGGTAACCGATGTATTATTATGAGATCTTTCAATTAGTTTTAGTTCTGTGGTTGTAGTTAAAAAAGTATCAATGACAGAACTTTGTGTGGTTCATTAAAGAGAAAACCCGACTATTAACGTTTCTTGTAAACAGCAGTTACTCAAACTAAGAGCTTTAAGTGTATCTATTACAGATAACTTCGAAATATAACGGCGACGACCTTGTTGATCTAGCGGCAATTTATCTTGCTTTCGATGGTCATGGGTTTAGTCCACGCACGCCCAGTATATACCAAAATAATTTTGTAAATTAAACCCAAAAGAATAGAAAATCGTTTATTCAAATAAACTTTATTTAAGCACTTTTGAATAGTCATAACAATTTGTTTTTTATCTACCACTCGTTCGGAAAGCTGTCTCATCACAAGTAGAACGAGCAAGAAACTTGTGTGTTGCTCTTTTAAATAATTCTTGTAAGTTTACATTTACAAGTCAAAACGTGTGAATACAATCTACCAACCAGCACAATTTTTTTTAGATCAAGATAAATATAAGAATAATAATAGAAAAATTTTATTATTTTTCTATATATTTTTAATAGCATTAAAAAAGGTTGTACCCTAGTTGTACCTAAATGAAAATAGAAATATTCTTTATTAATATAAACATATTTGACTAGTCAAATAATATAGTCAAGTAAAATTAAAAATTAAATCATGATGTTGGTCTAAGAGTTGCGACAGAATGCGCAAAAGTCGTCGCAACGTTCTGGGGAGAAATATATTTAGTTGCCGTTGAAACTAAAAAAAAAGGTCACATCATGATTTAATTTAAAATTTTACTATTTTGGCGCTATATATAAAAATAATTGAGTGAATAATAACATTAGGAAAGAAATTTTAAAGGGATGAATAAATTAAAATAAGGTTTAAAAGCGCTTTTTTTCATAATAACTCGATAACGGTAAGAAATATGAAAACATGTTTTAAATAAAAGTTGTAGAGAAAAAAATTCTGCACAAAACAGGTCCCTTTCATTTTTTCATTATCTGCTGTTGTTTAGTGTATTTTACCGCTCATTCTGAAAGCAGACTCATCACTAGAAGAATAAACAATAACTTTGCATGTTGTTCTTTTGTTCAGATTCTATAGTAATTTAATATTAATAAAAATATTATTGATAATAATTAGTATTTTTGCGAATCTAACCTCCAAATTTAGTCACGCAATTAATTTAATCGTCCATTAAACCGTTAAATATTATTTAATAGTCCATTAAAGCGTTAAACATGAACATTAACCCTGTTCCGCTATAGTTTAACAGTTCCGAATATTCAGACTGTGAATTATTGCGCGGTAGGTGTGCCATCAAACATTATTATTTGGAACAATCTCCACATTATGTTACATTTGCATGCAAATTGTTAATACACCATTTAATTATACGACCACGTCACAATTGTGTCAAAAATTTGTTTGCACGAATTATGTATGAATTATGTATAACCACCACGTGTAGTAAAACGATTAAAAACCTGTTACAAAGTCAAATGTTTTAATTCTAATATAGAATAGCAAAAATTCTTTAGGTACTCAAAGAAACTTAAATTTCAATATCTTGCTTACTTTTTATTAATCTACCGTTCATTAGGAAAGCTGTTTCATTACAAGAAGAACGAACAAGAAACTTGCGTGTTGCACTTTTAAATAATTTTGCAACTTTACATTTTTAAGTTAAAACAAGTGAATGTGAATCTGTGATTAACGCAAACAATATTTTATCATTTCTATATTTTTTTTTATTTTGTAAATAGGTTTTTTTTTTATGTTTCGTTCATATGCAATAAATAAAATTTTAGGTTATTTATTAAAATAAAAAGTGTGTACTATTTCATTATTTTTTCCGCCGTCAGAGAATAATTATTGACAGCAGTTTTAATCTTGTCCAAAGAGCACAGATCTAATAAGACGTTAGACCATAGA